TTCAGGAAACTGTAGACAGACTCCTGCATCATTATTGTTGAAATAGATGAAATGGTACTTTATGTAATGTGGTGGGTAATACCGGTGAGGGTACCAGCACCATGCAGACAACTGTGCACTGTAGATTATTCGACTGACCTAGAAGTATGTTTTATGTAATATGGGTAGTCAGCAGTTACCTGAACGTGAAGTTGCTTGGGGTGCTAGGTATCATTTAACCATGTGACATTACCTATTTCCCACTGAGGTGTTTCTTGGCTGGTTGGTTGATATATCAGCAGTTGTCATACAAAGGTATTTTTCATCAGATGAGTACATCAGGCTTACCAAAGAAAACTTTCCCACTGCGCAGAAAAACGCAGAAAAGTCCACATTAATCGTTGAAATAGCAACTTAAACATAATACCTCGCTACTGAAACAGTAAAAACGGCAACGGAAGACTATGAAACTGCAACATTTTTAGATCAGCAAACTTTGACCTCTACTGCGCATGCGCTTCTTTCTAATTTCTGAGCAACCGTGAATCGCCTTGCGTAGAAAAGGTATTGAATATGTCCAAATAATTGCTGTCAATCATTTTCATACGAATGGAAAGTAAACTAAACAAGTGTGCACACAAGTATGATGATGATAAATGCCAAATAACACAACAGAAATACTTAAAAGGGAATGTAACTTTTGTCCAAGCTGGAAAATATCAACATGCGGTCGAGGCTTCCTCTTCCATGTCCAAGCACATGCGCAAGTTGCAGGCTCTTCGTTTTTCTATCCAGGTTTAGCGATGTATAGTTACCGTTTTTACTATTTCAGTAGCGAGGTATTATGTTTATGTTGCTATTTCCATGATTAATGTGGACTTTACTGCGTATTTCTGCACAGTGGGAATGTTTTCTTTGGTAGGCCGGTACATAGTCCACTTCCAATCATCCAGACATGCCCAGTAAAGTATTGCTGCAATTTCAAAGCCCATCACTTACTCAGCATGTTCATAGCAGCAGACGGCCATATTACCATGAGGAGACATAAGCACCAGACATCTTCACAGACAACTCTTTAACTCTTCAGGTGATAACTAGCTAAACCTGGTATTGAGAGACTGATTTTCTGCAATAATTTATGATGTATTGGAGATACGTGTGTTATTGTTTTCTTCTTGTCATATGGGATAGAACCTTGTGTCTCATTCATACAACAGTTGACTTGATACTTCCGTTCACCGACACCAGGGAACAGCGTTCAACCTGTCACCTACACACATGTTGGCAAACAGCTACAAAGAAAACATTGACAGTTCAAAAAATGGCTGCAAAAAATAAACAGCATCATCTTTGAAGGGATGTCTTCCGACCATCTCAAAACTCACTTGCCTGTTGACCTACAGAGCAAGAACAAAGACTGCGGAATTTTAATTGATGGCTGTGAAAAGACGACAATTGTTGAAATAGGAGGTGAGCGAGAGACAATGACAGCTATTATTTGGTATAGATTTTCCCAGGGCCATCCTTGCAATAGAGGCGCTCAGTCATGCTTGAAGACAGGCTGGAGAATTCCCCATACCTGGTGTTAGTGAAATGTTCGTGTGTGGATTTCACCTGTCAGGTCACAGGTGGAGAAGGTGTTTTTGCTGGCCGGTCAAAGCCTGTTACAAGCTTCATTACCGCTGACACACTGGGTGGCAAGAGGCATGGCAGCAAAAGCATATTTCCTAGATGAGATGTTGATGGAAAGTTTTAGCAGGTTTCTGTCTTTTGTATTGGAGTACATTATCTTCAAACAGGCCCTCCAGAGGCCCAACATACATTATCTGGAGTTGAAACACAGGGAAGAGAGATGTAACCATCAGAAGAGGTTTGGGTGTTTATCTGTTAGATAACATGTGTTGTGCTCTACTGAGTTGTGCACATAATATGTACATACACTGGCATCAACACTCCAGCTTGGGAAGCCATTCACTGAAGGTATGTTGTCCATTACTTCTCAGTTAAGACGTCACCTGTTTCCTGTGAGAGCTCGTTGGTTTACTGTCCCTCTCTATTGAAAAGCGTGATGTGGAAACACACTTGACAATAAACTTTGAAGTGAAACTGCGAAGCATGACTTGCATCTGAAACTGTGATTTTCTAACGAATGGATGAATATGATAATGTCCCTTGTATTGTGTTTATGGGTCAGTGACATGGTGCTGTAACATGTTCTCTTTTCTGAACCACTGGGATGACACATGTTTGAAGATACAAATACCTATATAATATGATGCATTAGAAAAGTACTGCATGAACAGTCTCTGTTGGACTGCTTGCTGGGCCACTATAATGTATCCTCACAAGCAGCTAGGTCTGTTCACCTGCATCTTACCTAGACTTCCACCAGTCTCTGAGGCAATAGATATTAGTCTAAATCAGACAGACAGACAGACAGGCAGGTTTAATCGGTAATTTAGGCCCAAGGCCCATAATACATACATTTGGCAAAAGTAAATACATACTGAGTAATAGATATTAGTCTAAATCATGATTTCTAGATAATATAAATAATCAGAACAAGTTGTCCCTATAACAGTCTGACTCTTGCTTATCTACACTTGCGTATGTAAGTATAGAAACACTGTACACCAATGGTCTGGATTTATCGTAAGTACAGCCTTGGAGCAAGGCTACACCTCACCTGACATAATGTGCTGGACTAGACATGGCAGGCCAATGGTTGAGGACACAGACATCTCATAGAAAATGATACCATTTATCAAAGTAGATGGATTGATTGCATTTAATCAAGTCAGAGGTGTATGTAAGCATTGAAAGCATTAACTGGGATGTTACCACACATGTTGTGGGCTGCCTGTTGGGGTTGTACTACTCTGTCTCACAGTCCCTGAACCTCATTATGTTCCCTACTGCCAGCCCTCCCTGCAATGCTAAAGCCCTAAATGAAGCAAGTCTAGATTTCTCCAGGTTCAGGTGAATCTCTGGTCTCCCTTGGATTCCTTTTCAATTTAAATGGATTTATTTGTTACAATCAAAATTAAATATATTCAGAGACTAAGGGCTAGTCTAGGGTTGTACTGAAACACTGTTTCCCTGTCTTCCCATACTGCCCACGCCAAGTTGTTCAGTCAGGCTTATTTCTGTGTTGCTTGTGGTATTAGTGAGAGATGTCATGAAGCATCTGCTTGTATGAAACTATTACACGTGTAACATGCCAGTCAGAACACACCTTTATCATCATTCAATCTGACAGCTTCATCACCCAAGATTTCAGAAGTTGGCTCTAAGATATACAAAGCCTGCCTATCACCTACATCACACGGAGGCCTGAGAAAACCTCATGTTGTACAAAGACCGTAGTGTCTCTCTACGACTTCCATGACTTCATCGTCTTGGCCATAGTATTTCAGATAGATTGGTGCACATTCAAGTACTCACATGACAATTTCATATTAATTTACACCATGACCATATGTGACATGTTACACCAGGACCATTTATGTGTCTGATGTTAGTAATTGTTACACCAATGCTATTTGTAACCTGTTACACCAGGGCAATCACAGTGTGACATGTTACACCAGGACCATGTGACATGTTACACCAGGACCATGTGACATGTTACACCAGGACCATGTGTCTGATGTTACACTAGGTCTATGTGTGACATGTTACACCAGGACCATGTGTGACATGTTACACCAGGACCATGTGTCTGATGTTACACTAGGTCTATGTGTGAGATGTTAGAGCAGGACCATGTGTGTGAGCGATCTAGCCAAGGCAATATGTGAGAGGAAAGACTTTGGCTATGAGTGACAAATCAGACTATGGCTATGTGTGAGTGGTTACACCAGGGTTATGTGTAAGGCGTCAAGAGAGCAGAAAGTGTTGGAAGTGGTCAAATGTGTCAAATGTGACTGCCACCAAGATTACAAGAAAACGTTTTGATATTGCCCCTTATCGTGTGAAATCAACAAGGGTTCTGTATGTTGTGCTCCTTAACCACAATGGTGTCAGCTAACATTGACGTGTTGGTCTTTCAGGGGATCTTGATATGTTTTCAAGCATTCCTTGATATCAGAGTTCTGCTGCTTTGCTTCCTGCTTCCATTGTTGGCTGGAAGCTTCTGATTGGACAATCTCCTTACTGGAGTCTCAAGCTGGTTTGTTAGGAGATTTATCTATCCACTCTGTGCACTCATTAGTAGCTTTGATGAACCAATCTCCCTGGTCGTTATCAGTGTGTGGCAAGGGGGCATTAATTAGTGGATCACTTACCACTGGCAAATGTTCATTTGGTTTGGCAGCTTAGATTTTAAGATGAGGGAATTGTTGGTATAAGTGTGTACATGCATGTCTTGACCTTGGAACATTGCTCATAATATTCATCATTGGTTTATCTCCCCTAGACTATATTGTTTACTGTAGTATGCTTTTGTTACAATGTAACCCAGACTAACTCCTTGTGACACTCATAAAATGTCCGCCGTACCTTACAACTTCCTCTACTCACAGACTGTTGTCAGAGGGTATGGAAGGTGGTCACAGTCTATGGTTTGGTCTGGAGTAGATTTTAGAGGTGTATTCATTGTACCATGTTAACTGGACCCTCTACCCGTGAAGATCCGTGTTAAAATTGATCTTCAGTAACCCATGCTTGTCGTAAGAGGCGACTAACAGGATCAGGTGGTGAGGCCCGCTGACTTGGTTGACACATGTCATCGTATCCCAGTTGCAGAACGGTGCTCATACTGTTGATCACTGGATTGTCTGATCCAGACTTGATTGTTTACAGACTGCCGGCATATTACTGGAATATTGCTGAGTTCAGCATAAAACTCACTCACTCAATCACTAACTGGATTTCCTGTAAGAATCAAGTTTTGTCAATCAAGATGAAGCCTTGGTATCAGAGTTGCATGATGTTTCACTTATTGTCTATCTAATAATTGCGTCACCAAAGTATGTTTTGAATTCTTACCAACATACAGTTGTGCCTCTATGTCATTTCAGGAACTTTCCCAGCTGATGTGCAGCAGCCTCTGATTGGATACGATGATCACATGACTGATAATCAACACTGGAATATTGTTGTTCCTGAGAAGTGAATGATAACATTCACCAGTAACTGTTGTTTATTGAGTGGTTACAATATTTGAAAGCGTTCTGTGTATATCAACAGTTGCATTTGCAAGATTATTGTGATTGTGCTTTGTATTGGTAAGACCATGTAATTCTTGGATTCAAAGTCTGCCGACATGCTGAATTTCTGTGGAAATATTTTGTGTGAAGATCTGAGGTCAAGGGGAGGTAACTATGCAGACATCACCCGAACCTCAGCCTTTGACGAGGCTGAATGTAACAAAACATGATCGAATATGGGATAAGGAATCTCCCAAAGGATTCTTTGGATTTGATAATTCCAATGCTCTGTTTTCACCACCATTAAAACACATAACTCCAGAAACAACACAAGAACTGTGGGAGAAGTTTGATCCACTGGACTTGCTAGTTGACTCGGCAAGTGAAAAGAGTATAAAAAGTGAGTCATCATCGGATACGATGATAATGATGACAACTGAAGAAGAAAACAGAAACAAAGAACGAATAAAGAATAGTTTCATGGAATATGAACAGCAGAAAAGTGGTAAGAATCCACACATGAAGCAGACTACACACAATTACCCGACAGACGGTTTTATTGACCAACACTGTGACTACACCAACAACAATGGTCATAAAAATCCTGATGAAGATTTCCTAAATGATGAAGGTTATGGCACTGACAGTCGGACAAACACTACTGCCTCTCTATCATCTCCCTTGTCATCAAGCTTGTCATCCTTATTGACATCAGAAAGTTCATCTAGTCAGGGTAGCATGCAAAAGAATTTAAATGTGAATGCACGATCACAACAAATTCCCAGTAATGGACGGATAGTTGTTGGCACCCGTCAGAACATTATTGCAAAGAAAAAATCACAACCGGTGGAAAAGCAAGACAATTCTCTAATGGAAAAGTTGCGTGCATTGACAACAATTCAGGAAGAGGAGTCAACAGGGGGTCCAGAAAGCACCAATCAGCAAGTGCCTTACAGCAGTGACCCTAGAAAGGTACCTGACCACAGGTCAAATGACTATGTACATGAACATCGATTCCGTGAAAGTCAAAGGTCATATGTTAATGACCAGAATACATTTGTTAAGGAACCTGGTAGTTTTGCTGTTGAAGGCACCAGATATGACTTGAGGAATCCGGAACTAAGGTTCAATGGTGATCCTGGAAGGACTGAGCAAACAGGATACAAGCAAAAACATACAAATGATGCAGAACGTAAAATGTTCATGGAGGAAAGTAGCTGGAGTGCACAAGAGGGAATATTTCGAGCTGTGCCTGTGAAAATTGGTCAAGGTTCTACTAATTCCAACCGACGAAGAAGTGATGGTATTGATACTCATCGGCACTCTGTGTCCCAGATGGAAAACATCCCCATCAGTGGAACAGATGCATTCCGACGTTCGGAGGCGGATACCCGAGAACAAGATTCCAGAAATTGTAATGGCGATGTGTCTAATTTGGCTTCAAGGCCACGACCCCATTTGCATGGTGACAGTGTTAATTATGGCCCGTCTGGGGATATTCCTCCAGCCAACTTAACCAAGTATCCCAACCACATGTACTCTATGCCTAATCTGGCACATGACATAAGGTCAGCCCCTCACACGGGTCAAGTGGTCATGCGGAGACCCAAAAACTCTTCCCATCAAAACACCCGCAAACCAGATTTCCGTTACTCATGGGACTGTAGTGATGTACATTTGATGCACTCCAAGTTTGAGGTGGATAGTCGTAATCTGACAAACAACAACACCGTCCAGATCGATGAAACACCTAAACTGTCCAATCAGTTCCGGGCAACATCAGAAATGGCATTGCAAAATGGAAGGGCACTTTTTGCACCATCGTCTGACATTTATAAACTCTTCCAAGGTCAAGGTCGCACTGGTTTTTCGCAGGGAAAGCAAGCATCACATCGTCACAGTTTTCATGCCATGCCTTCCCAAACAAACTTGTCATTACAAGCTACAGACCCTTCTATGGAAGAAGTTCGGCATCGTCTACGTGCCGCCTCGTCCAACCGTTGTGGTTCTCCATCCCAAGTCAAGAATGGCCCGGTCAGGGCAAGTCATGAGATATACAAGTATAACAACACTGACGGCCACCCTCCCCACATGACAAACCATCAGGTTCGACCAAATTCTTTAACAGAGGCAAATGACAAACTGTCGACACTTGTCTGATTTTTGTTTACATTATATTTAATCAGGAATGGACAATTGTGATTATGTTGTTGATAATTGTTGAGACATTTTCAATTTGTTTTGGTTAAGATTATTATATTTACAACTACCCATAAATGTTTGTTGCTGAAAAGTGCCTGTATGAACATTGGATAAGATTTTTGAATACCAGATTAAAAGCAATTCAAATGAATTGCTATATTTTCTAATCATATCAGCCCGATATCATTGTAATAGAAATTACAAATGTCAGCTGGAATCTATATAGGTTATTCATTATTTATCAAAGGGTATTGCCATGGGAACTGTCAGGATTTACACATTTTGATTCTTGAAAGTTCTTTTATCAAGCCGACACAACTATAAATGTTTTTTTCAATAGCACTACATATCTGTGAAGCAAATATGCATTGTTCATTATTTGAGGTTAATTACTAAGCAGCATGGTCACCATGTTGGATATTTCTATAGAGCTCTAAGTAAAACCACTGTAACACTAAGCATATGTGCTCCATCGATAGCAAAAGTAAAGATTTATTTATACAAATTTAATGAAATATTCCAGTTAGTGTTTCCTAACAGGATCAGTTTTGACTGGACAAAGTGAAAGCTTTACATGGCTGTATGCAAAGAATGTTAAGTGTCTTATCCTCATAAACGTTATACATTTTGAGGTGCTTTAGAAACTTGGGGGATGTTTTAAACCCTTGCTGGAACAGCACCTGTCTAATTGTTTACAACTGTATTTACTACGCAAAACATTTGCAAGGACAACATAAAGCACAGTGAATCTTGGCCAACCTTAAGTTCTTCTGTATGTTTGTTGTGTTGAAAGATACACTATTGTATATAGCATGTATAACCCTAGCATCATAGGGCAGTGTCTGCTGATAATGGCTTCAATATGTATTTATGAATATTTAATAGGCCTCAATACCTCGTTTGCATGCTTCGCAATCAATTATTTGGTTGAAATCAAGGCAGCAATTTTACCATTCTGAATGTCAACTTAACCAGAAACCATTCAATTTATATGACCTGTAACACAGATAAAAGGTTTACTTTTCAGTGAGTGCTAATTTTCAGAACATCAGATAAGATAGTGGAACATTGAAGTGAAATGTTTGTCCTGATAGTTAAATACCTTTTCCACTAAATCCTTGCTGGAATCACTGAGTTTCAGTCTGCCTCCAAGAGACTGTTGTTTTGTAAGACCAGTAAGAAAGTACATGATAAATGTGATAAATAGATCATCTTGCTGCTCTTGTCAAACATCAATTTTATCTGATCTGGTGACTGGAGGTTAGGGCTGGCGTGGGAGCAGTCATCAATTTACTGTGCGGAGTTACCTCCCTTATCCATGTCAGCACCATGCCCTTGCTTGTGGATTTCACCAGAGACAATATAATAATATTTTCATATGGGCTCTGATTCCACCAAGATAATTAACATCTGCATCACACTCGGCTTTCTGCTCCCTTCAAGTAGTCATCCTGTACTATGGCTGAAAGCTGTTTAAAGTTCGAATAAACCAAACCTCTCACTTACCTCGTCTCTCAAAAATGTTCAATATCAACATTATCAAGTCTCTTGATGAGATAAACATGTTATTTGACAAGGAAATCCAAATATCTTCTACATATCATTTAAAGTTTTCTTGTCTGTTTGAATATGTTTTGTTGCCTGTATCAAGTTGTTATCACCGTGAGACTTCTCCCAGCCAGACCTATCTACCCGTGTATATTAGATATATTAACCACAGAAGATACTGTACAGATATAAATAATAACTTTGCCATATTTAATTAAGATATTTAGGGCCACTCTATGAAGAATTGCCTTTCTTTACCACAATATCAAATTTGAAGACAATTGCAGAAGCGTGAACAAGTTTCAAAAACTGTTTATAAAGATTGGTGTCACCAGACAAAGGATTATCTGATAGTTTCGCTGGCTCTGTGATTATGGTGAACTATGGTGTCACGCAGGCATAGAACCATTTTGTGTGGAAAATACTGTAGATTTCTGCAATTTCAGGACTGCACCCCAGCTCGACTCACTAGTTAATCGGGGCGGTGGGGTAGCCTATGGTTAAAGCGTTGTCTCGTCACGCCGAAGACCCGGGTTCGAATCCCCACATGGGCACAATGTGTGAAGCCCATTTCTGGTGTCCCCCGCCGTGATGTTGCTGGAATATTGCCAAAAGCGGCGTAAAACCAAACTCAGTCAGTCAGTCAGTCACTAGTTAATCAGCAATGCCATGTCACTCATTTCTCTAATATATTGATCTGTATCACGGACCAATCGTCTGCGGTAATACAATTCTCTATGCAGAGTTGTGTCCCATGGCATGCTGATTTGAGCACTATGATGGTTGTTTTGAATCCCATTTTGGTCTTATTATGTTTCTAGATTTGTCAGCCCCATACCTGTTCTTCTCGTGGGTTTCATTAAAGTGATAAATGTCTGAGCCCTGCCTCATGTCCGGTGTTCCTCCCACCTTGTGCTGACACACTGTGATATACCGGGAATACTCTTCAAGCGTTGTTAAACCCAACACTCACTCATGTCAATCAGTCATGTCAAGACACTGCTTACCTCCCTTTGCTCTCACCTAAGGGAGTCCAAGATGGGTTGAAATTAGCAGTAAATGAAATGTTTGGTTCTCTCCAACAAATACAAATACAGATGTTATATTGCAATATTCTTTTCTCTTTAACTTTTGAATTTGGAGATAAACTGTAGTATATGCCTTTTGTTCTGAAGCATTTACATTTTGTGTACATTTGCAGACTGTACTGTGTGATTTCTCACCCACATACGCTCATTTAGGATACGCTCTTTTGAGAGACCCTTTACAGTTGTCTTTAAGTCCTCTCCCAAAGTAAATCCCACTTTATTACATCTGTGTTATATTTTGTAGTACAGCATTATGTAATGAACTGTGATGTTCTGCTTGTGTTATTTTTGCTACAATTCATGCTAAATCTGTATGCCAGTCTGAAAGTTCTAATATATATAATATTTCTATTATTTGTTGCAAAGATCTACTGAATATATCTTATAATTTTATGGCAATCTGAGACAATGAGATACAATCAAACTGAGATTCAAATGGTTTTCCTTCTTGTGTTTAGTCAGTTTAATCAGTGATTTATGTGAATGATTATATGTACAGATGACTATTTATCAAATCATTACTTATTGCTATACATATACAGCATTCTTCTCAAAGACGGTACAGATAGTTCGGTTTGAGAATGTTTACTAGACTTAATGCTCTTGATGCTTTTAGCATTAATAAAAAGCTGCCCAGTGATGAGAAGAAATTGAAAAGGTGTTATATTTGGTACTGCAGTCTATTCCCTCACAAGCTCTGTGAATTACTGTAGCCAGCTTGAGAGTCTCTGGTAATGTGCTCTCACTGTGTAGTGGTTGCAGTGTGCGTGACTGGCTGGTGTGCGAAGCACAGGGGTGATGTGTGTGTGAAACCCTCACAGTAACATACAGGGGTGATGTGTGTGAAACCCTCACAGTAACATACAAGGGTGATGTGTGTGAAACCCTCACAGTAACATACAGGGGTGATGTGTGTGAAACCCTCACAGTAACATACAGGGGTGATGTGTGTGAAACCCTCACAGTAACATACAGGGGTGATGTGTGTGAAACCCTCACAGTAACATACAGGGGTGATGTGTGTGAAACCCTGGACACTGCATCATGTATACGTCCATTGTGTAATATGGAAGACATCCATGCAGATAACACAAAACTGCAAACTCGCAACAGTCAGTTTGTTGCAGGGGATTTGGAGATATCAGTCAACCAGACTGGTTGAGATTGATATGTTGAATTCAGGGACTGGTCATTCATCATTCTTGGTGTAATGATGAAGTGACACAAATGATTATAAAGTTCAACACTATTTGAGGACTAAGCATTTTTTGTAGGTCATGAAAGAAACGTTAAATTTGGGGTGGAATGAAATAATATTACATAACATGCCAACCACAACAAACGCGCAGAGCCCACACCCCAACCCAGTCTACACCCACCCTCCAACCCATCCACTCACCCCACTGACACACCCCAACCCAGTCTACACCCACCCTCCAACCCATCCACTCACCCCACTGACACACCCCAACCCAGTCTACACCCACCCTCCAACCCATCCACTCACCCCACTGACACACCCCAACCCAGTCTACACCCACCCTCCAACCCATCCACTCACCCCACTGACACACCCCAACCCAGTCTACACCCACCCTCCAACCCATCCACTCACCCCACTGACACACCCCAACCCAGTCTACACCCACCCTCCAACCCATCCACTCACCCCACTGACACACCCCACAAGAAGTGATTCGAAACAAGAAATCTACTTGTCAGCTGTTGTCAGTGTGAATTACTAGGGGTCACTGAAGCTGGTTTATCAGTGGTACACAGAGCTGTATGTGTGCTGTAGGTGTATGTGCTGGACCGTGACACACAGCTAATGTTGGTATATAGAACGTGTTCTGTGCAAGCACTGGGGTAGTGTTCAGCTTGCTTCACATGCACATCTGTATTCAATAAAAAAAATTGTGTAAATCTTGTGATGGTTCTGTTTTTTCTCATGTCCTACATGTAAAGTGTGTCTTGTCTTTAAACCTTTTATTGACCCAAGTCCCTGGATGCACATCTGAACAGGACGGCAAATATAATGGAAGGTTGCATTGTATATATAGCTCCATTGCAGATTATTCATAACAGGAGTGAGAGTGATTGTCTGACTGCGTTACGTATTGAACCCAATGTCGATTTCCAAGTGTAAAGAAGTTGGTGTGTAACCAAGAAGCAACTTTTAAATTAAACTAAGTTTACAAATCAGTACAAACAAAACACTAATTGCATGCCCCACACTCACCTCACCGGCAACCCACTTGCCACCCAATACCGACCGTGACAGGGGGACACACGCGCAATTAACGCTCAGTTTTTCTGTAGTGTCGAAATTTCATAAATGTCACAGGAACGACATCATGAGATGCGCACGTAAAATATTCATATTCACATACATGGCTGTATCGTTCCTAACCACAGCACAAGTGTGCATTAAACTCTCTTGAATTGAGTTAAAGTGTTTGTATGCGGACGAAGCTGCGCATTAACGTTACCCGTAAACAATCCTTTAACCACATCGTGTAGGTCAATCTACACCAGCCCATTTCTAGTGTACCCGCCGGGATATTGCTGGAATATTGCTAAAACTTGACTCACACTCAGTCTATGCCATATCTTGGGGAAGTTACCTACCATCACTTGGGGCAGGATTTACTGTTATCTCATTGAATCGGTTCCTACAGCACTCGTGAACATATACAGATTAAAAAATTGAGAAGTGAAATGTTAAAAGCTAATATGAATACTGACTTCCACTGCTGTTCACCACAACATCGACATGATATGCAGTGTAACCGACTCCTCTTTCACGCCAAAGGCTATGCAACTACAAATATAGCCTATTAGACATGATGTATGTCAAAGCGAGCTGGTATGGCGGTTGAATGTCGTCACCGGACCCCCAGACCCTCTTCCATGATCTCATGTCAGCACCCAGGAAATGCTGGGGATCTCTGTTCTCCACGGCATCAGCACTACCGACATGGAATCACGTAGCCTGTCACACAGACCCTAAAACACATATACCCAATACAGCCCAAGTCTAGAATGCGTGGCATGTCTAGATAACCACACTTTCAGTAAATGAATATAGTCACTGGGCTCCTTTTTATCATATGAACGTAATTTAGAAACCGTTTTTTCTGTAAAATACGTTCATTTCAAAGACTAGATGTTAGTCTGGGGATGGCGCTCTGGAACAATAAACGAACAAAAGCGAAACAATCGAACAGTTATTCAACCTCTACACTGAACCAATCGTGTATTCTAACAAATCGTCATGTCCAGGGGGTTAAGCAATAGCTGTGCTTCAAATATGAGGGAACTTTAATAATTATTACATTTATGTGCGTTCAGTTAGTATTAACTTGTTGGTTTGGAATATTCAGCGCAAGGAATCATAATGTAATCGATATTCGTATTGGCTCAGAAAATGCACTTAAAATTCCTAAAAAATATTTGTACATATAATATTACTTTCTAAATTACAGCGTGTAGTGAAACCTGCAGCTTTTCCGCCAGTGCAGACCAGAGCTCTGACCATGGCCGCTATAGATTTCTGTAGTCACAAAGTCATTGTACCGGAGTCACAAGACATTCTACCACAGGGTGTTTGGTAGCACGGAACTACATGTAAAGAGAAACACAGGTACTGGCTAACATTTCTTAATTTCATATTTGTTTTGTCATGGTAGCATCTTAACTGCGGCACCCCAATAATATTTACTGAAAAATACTAGCATTAGGTTATCGTTCACATTTTAACGATTGCAAATTTTTTAAATGCATATTTTTGTTTTATTTTCATATCAACTGTTTCTGTTACATCTTGTTCTGCATATACTGATAATTGCTGGCAAATTTGTTATTCACTTAGTCAAAGACACTTAGCCTATAAATATATTCATCTCATTAAACTCCGCACACCACAGGTTCATTTAGAATATTTGGTCACAGGTAAGGAAAAGCATCCTCCCACTTCATCTAACTTCTACCTGTTTGGTACAGAGAACCAATTAGATGATGGGGTTATGTCATACCTGAATGACTGTTCGTAATAGGTGTTATCTGGGTGTGGCATAGTCCATTAATGTTGTTTAGAGGGGGTTGTATTGGTGCATCCATTTCATCGTTAGAATAAATTTGTTTGTTTGTTGTTGAACGCCCCAATCTGCAATATGCCAACTATATGACAGCAGTCTGTAAATATTCGAGTCTTGACCAGACAATCCAGTGATCAAAAGCATGAGCATCGATCGAGATCGATACGATGACGTGTGTCAACCAAGTCAGCGAGCCTTTTTTTTAGAACAAATGAATGACAGACTCAGTAACATATTATATAAATACGTTATATATGATACGTATGTGCGTGTGAGATCAATATACACAATTCATAAAACAGAAATACGTAATTTGATAGTTTACACAATTTACATGCTAAACAGGAATCAATCCGTTAAAGAAATTCATGTACAACCAACCGACAACGGAGAAATGTGTTGTAACAGTTGTATTTTAAAATTAAATAACTTCAAAAATCAATACGAATTCCTTACAAAGGTATCACTGTGACAGAAGAAATAGATTTGCAATACTAATTCAGAGGCAATATATAGGTGCGGTGATTGTAGCAATAATGACGATGGTAATTTTCACCTAGCTCTCAGCAGAGACCATAATATTATATGGTCTCTGCTCTCAGTAACAATAATCTCACTTGCAACTATAGGCCTAGGCAGAATATAACATGATCATCACACACAATGCTGGTCTTCTGGTAATTGAAGATGTAAAGTGAGATGAGTCTGGATAGTACCCTTGCAGTTGTTTTATTTGAACTGAGGTTTGAGGGCGAAGGCGTCGTGAATAATAAACAGATGATCTAAGGGAGGCAACTCAATGTCGATTATGCGTGAACCTCTGAGCTATTGTTGTAACGGTTTATGAAGATCATGATATCGATCGCTTCGTTCATAATGACAATGGCTTATATTACGGTGTATTAATGATGTATTATACTTGATATTCTCGTATATTTCGTTTTTGTACATGTGTAAGAATCAACAGACATCATCAATATTCGCGTTGGAAATTCTCTGTCCGGATAGGTATTTACTGAGCACCGCCCTCTTTGTCTCGTCCAATGAAAACGATGCTTGACATCCATCGACCAATGAACGACGAGCAGGTGCCCGTGACGTATAATAATAGAAGACGGCTGATAATAGGTCAACAAAATGGCCGTCTGTTAATAAAGTCAGAATGCAAGTTCTTTGTGAGTATATTGATGATTTATTTATCTTGAGTAATGCTTTCGTAAAGACAATATTGATGTATCGATAGTCAAATATTATGTTGATTTATTTCACCTGCTTTTGATTTAATTGCTGTTGAAGGAACACCTAAAATTTACCCCAAAATGAACGACGGGGCCGGTAGACAAATCTTCCCCGTGGGGGGGTCATTGGCCCTGAATAACAGGGGCAGATAAGTAAGGAAGAATGTCTGGATCCTCCAATAGATCAACATCTACAAGCGTACCCCTAACAATTTCATTGAACGCATGAGTCTGTAGCTAGATAGGGACTCCATTTATGTGATCACGAACAGACTGCGTTACTGAAACATTTTAATCATATTTTAACTGAACATTTAACTGTGGAGAATCTACTCCGTTTTTAGGCTTTTCTTCCTGCTGCCCAAGGGTAAACTACTCGGGGAGACCATGACTTCAAAAACGATAAGTCTCTTGAAGTATTGAAATACTCTCAGCAAGGAAAATCCGTACAAGGGTATACTGTTTTTTCTACTTGGTGGACTGGGTCCTTGCTGTAGTTAACGTGCAGTTTTGATGTTTTGGTGAGGGTTTTATGCTAAATACGTTTTACCTTTACGTTTTACCTCACGGGACAAGTTAGTATGAACATGATGAATAGCTGAGCATGATGCTTTTAATGCATTGTTTAAATATGACAGCATGCATTTAGCAGTGAATGGTTAATGAAGTAATGTCATGCAATCTATTCAACTATAACAGCCGCAATGTCAGTGTGAATTAAACAACCCGTAAAGACCCGAGTTACAGTTTCCCTTCAGCAACCAATGTTTGTTGTGATAGGCGAGTAACAGGAATGGGTGGTCAGGCTCGCTGACTTGGTTGACACTTCATTGTATTTCAACTGCATTGATCGATGCTCATGCTGTTGATCACTAGATTGTCTGGCCCAGATTATTTACAGACAGTTGCTAAAAAGCAGTAACATTGCTGAGTGTGGCATTAACAGTGAACCATTTATTTATTATCAAACAAAGTTCTTTGATTTATCCAACCATGTTTTTGTTAAGTTTGACTTGCACTCTTGTATCCGTTTGTTTTCAGAAAACTAAGGAGAGGACGGCCAACTGGAACCATGTCTGAGCAGCGAACAAGCACCAGCACCCCAGGGACGCCAACCGCTCCCCCACAAGCTCCCCCAATAGTGACGATGGCCAACATTAGGTCATCGTCTACTCTATCCCAGATCCCCCAGGTGCAAGTGATTCCCCAGCCAATGCACAGTCCACCTTATCTCTCCAACTTCCCCTACAACCCACAGATCATGCTTCAGAACGCTGCAGTTGGTGAGTGACAATTTTGATTTGTCTCCATTATTATACTTCTGTCTTCCAGATTGGAATTAGAGTGGACTTATATTCTAATGGTACCGTAATGCAGTGTTTTATCCAGGTGTGAACCCACAATACGTCACTTTACAACCCCTGTACTGCAATACATATGATACATTACATACCAAGCTAGATTAACAAACAGCGTGTCAATAATAACCATGATAACAGCAGATGATCGACAACCTGCATATGTAGATTCACTAGTACTTCTCTGGTGGCTGTCTATAGAATAACATTCACAATGATATTTAGTGTGTATGTTTCTCCACTACAACATCTTTAATCTCGGAAATTTAAAGACCAGTGATTCAGGGTTGCGGTAGACTTGCAAGAAGAAAGAATGTGAACTTACTAAAAAGAACTGTATGGGAATATAAATTGTATTGCACCTATGTCTACACAGCCCCTCTATGTAGTAACACCAAATGAGGTAGTGCTTTAAAAATTATTTTTGTGTAATACATAAATACTGGTAGCATTTTCTGGTAGAATCTCTGTGTATCCTTTACAGCCTTTGAAATATTGTGGTTCTAGGTTTGGAATCTGTCAGCAGCATTCCAGTGCTTTTTGATAGGATCCTGTGACTTGCATCACCATGGACTGTTATCCCAGATTAGGATGCTACCTCAGTACCTGAGCTACCCTTCACAGCATCAGATAACGTCAAGTCACTTGTTATTGTTTGTCCTTTCAGCAGCCATGGCCCAACAACAGCTGAACATGGCAGCTGCCATGCAAGGACGGCCTCCCTCAGTCAGCCCTACAAGCCCTGGCTTGATGTCACCCACATCCTCGCAGGTATGCAACTTCTTAAAACTGTTTGGGACTGTTTATCCTTCTTACTCTTGGTGCTCCCTGGGGGTATTTTGGATTTGCTTGTGTCCTGCTTCAAGTTCTCAACCAGGGGAGATAACACAAATCATCACCTTTGTTGTAGGGGGTTGCATCCAAGGAATATAAGGGTCATTTTCAAAATTGGTAGGATTTTCAATTCTTTATTACAATAAAATCAAACTCCTCAAAATTGATTTAATTTTTATTCAAATAAAACCTCAAACACTTAATTATTCAAAAATACAAACATGCAGACTGAAATGTACTAATTGACCTTTTAATTGATACATAAGTAATTACAAGGGTGGGGGACTGTTCTGACCATTACCACTTCTTAATCAGAATAAGGATTTTGAAATATAATTCTTAAAAATCTTTTAAAGATGGCAGACACAGCTTTTACACAGACTTAATCAAACTTGAAGGTAAAAACTATCATCATGAATCTTGAAAGTGTTATTTTGTATCTTTCATTTATTTACCACAAAATGATAGCATTTTTCTAAAACATTATTATGTATATAGCTTTCAACAGGTGAAATTGTCTAAAATAAACATCTGCTACCAAGCCCAGAACATCTTTTGATGACACCAACATAAAGAGGAGTGTTTCATGTATTATCATGAATAAATTAGAGCAGTCAATTAACACCAGTTACGGTTAGGACAATAGTGGTAACGTTTTGGACAGGAATGGTAACGGGATTGACATAAGCCTTAAACAGTTTAATTCAACATAGAAACAGGTAACATGAAAGGAAAAAAATGATATCATTTACTTGAAGTTTGAACTGCTAACCCTATTTTGGACAGACAGTGAAATGTGTAATAGAAATTGTAACTCGTAACTAATATGACATGTTTTTCTTCCATGCTGTGATAACGGTTTGGACATTTGTTATATAAATATAAAACTTGTGAATGAATTTAGGCTTTTGAGTAAAAACAAACTGTAGCTTCTAAAGAATAGAAAAACATACCGGCCCAGATTGAAAATCACTTATAATCTAAAGAAGAGTGCAATTAGGGAACGAAAATTGAATGAATAGTAACGGTTGTGACATTATTGGTAACGGTCAGGACATCAGTGTAACAAACAAATGTTATCCCTCTAAAAAGTTGCCACAGATAAAATTCTGAAAGGTACTGCAACAACTATGATACTGTACACATGGTCATGCTACACAGGCCACTGCATAGATGTCATGTTGCTGTTGATAGTATGGTGCAATATTAGTCTCCACGAAATATACTTCTTTCATTCACTTGGATCCCTTTAGCTTTTGTTAATAGTGAGATGGTAACACATATTTATCAAATACAAAGGCCAACATATTAGCACCTATCAATATTCTAAGTAAATGGTAGTCTTACATATCTCACAAAGTCAAAACAGACTACACCAAAAAAATCTTTAAAGGTTGGAATACAATTAAGTTGATTACCATTACTACATTTTGTCCTAACCGTTACCTTTAATTCATAAAGACTATACATCTTATAGAAAATAGAAACTTAACGTGATAAATTCGTTTTGGTTTTTATTATTAAAAGCAGATAGATAAGTAAATAGAAATTTATTATCACACCATAGAACATATTCTTCAAAATTGAAATTTATTAAAGAAATGTCCCGACCGATATTTGTCCAAACCGTTACTAGAGACTGTGTTTTTTATACTACTACATCAAAACGCCTTTGAACAGTACAAGTCCATGCTTAAACTATCTTAACTCTTAAAGAAATTATACATTTGTTATACTTTAAATATTACTGAATAACTTTTTGAAATGCAAATAATTTTGTCCTGACCGTAACAAGGACTGTCCAAACCGGTACTTTGCAGAATGGTATCGGTTTGGACAGTAATGATCAAGACAATTTGTAAGTAAATCTTAAATAAAAAAATGAATGATCCCTAAAAGATTTCAAAGGACATACCTTCCACTTCTTCCATTTCTGGGCAACATATCCATTGAAGTTTGAAAAAAAAGATATACATATTTGACACAAAATACATTGGTAACGGTCTGGACAATTAAGGTTGACACATAACATTTATACTTATTTGACGGTGTCAATTTTCTTCAAAATGTATTGAATCTCTTTATTTCATCTGCTGTCACATCCACAGGGGCTAGCTCAAACAGACACAGGAAGTAGTATTACAATCCAGCTCCAGGGAGATATTATTGCAGGAATTTCATACACTGGTAACAGTCAGGACACAGAATCACAGGACAAGCATGTTACAATTTGTAGACAAATACTTTTTTAAGTTAAAAAAAAATTAAATGCAGTCTGAGTATGCTTGATCAATCCTAATTGGCATAATATGAATTAATTTGTTTGTTTGCATTTATATTTACATTATTTGTGAACATTGATATTAGGACCGTCACCTCCGGACGGAGCAAATCTGCCAATTTTGACCCCAAAATGTGGTTAACTATATATTTCAAAATGACAAGACTAATGATATACCACATTTACTGACTAGTTAACATCTAAATATGTTTTCTAGAACAAAAAAATCGTTTTAAACTCACAGATTTTTTTTTATTCGGAACGGACAGAAAATCCTACCAATTTTGAAAATGACCCATAAATGGTTAAGGGATTGTCAATTTGTCATTGATGATGCTGAGTGAAACATGTGTGGCATATTAATGTTGTACGTTGTTTCTTTATTTCATGAAGGAGACCCATATACATGCTCCTTCCAGACATTCATGTTTCATTTAACAGTTTGCCTTCATAATATTTCAGGCTCACTAAAATAATGTTCAAAGCAAGGTTAAACTGAAGTCACTCACTGGTACCAAGTCATTTTGAAACAGGAATTATCCTGATCATATATTCACAGTATTCTTCTAAAACTGTTCACTGGTTTACACTAAACATTGGGTTTATGAACTCGACCGGACCACTAAGTTTATTTCATTATAACTCATTATATAAACAATATAGAGTAAGTCACTGGAACAAAAAATGACAGTTGATCATTAGTCAGTATATTGTAAACATAGTTTGCTGTACCTTGAGTATTCAATAAGAACATTAACAAACAGATGCAACAGTAACGTTTCATCCAAGGTCAGTCATCAGTTGTGTTGAAGTGTGTAAATGTGTAACTGTGGATATATCCAACGCTTACTGATTTTCTTGATATATAATCAATGATACAGTAGCATGTTCTGGCCATCAGAAGCAAGGATTCACACATTGGGGAGTCAGACACAGGACTTTGGCATTATGGGGGGAATAACTTAACCCAACTAACCCTAGAAAAGTAGACAGATGTGAAGAATGAGTAGGATATCATTGTAGGAATACTCAGGATGTAACAAAAGCTGAATATATAACCAGGGAGACCATATAACGGGGAGTGGTCACTCCTCGAAAAGCCCCTTAGCGTATGCCTTGGCTCGTCACGTGACCAGTGTAACCAATATGGCGGCAGCGTAGTTTTAAGATTGAGCCCGGTTTATTTTCATCAGCTGATTACATTCGCTGAGTGTTGTGACAACTGAAAACCTACATGTAGAAGATAAGTTACCTATTCTGTCACTTCATTATAAGTCAAATAATTGTTATTAGTGTCAGTATTAAAGTACTGTCGGAAATGCTAGAAAAATGCTTTTTAGCCTTGATATCTTTAGAAAGGTGATAAATGTACTCTGTTGTCAATATATCAACTCACCTATAGTGTGCCTAATTTTTAGTTCAATTGATTTAACATTCCCATGCATTTAAAGGGCAGTTTACAGGAGAGAATTTGGTACCAAGACAACAACTTCAGATTTTTTCTGAGTTCAACAACAGAAATCTGAAATAGTCTTTACATTTATGCTAATAATACAGGTGGTGTAAAAATATAAATTAACGTTTTTCTTAAACAAATAAATGTTGAATGTTTGTGTTACTTTACTAAATTATCGTTTCTTTATTAAAGAAATATTAATATAAATGTTAAATCTTGATAAATAAGTTTCCCGTCATGCATGCACATCTTTATCACAGCGTCCACTATGGCCAACTATTTGCAGACGATTGTTGCAAAGGTTTATAAGTTTTTGTGCTTGAAAAAGACAGAGGAAAACCTTTCATTAGTATAGAAATGGTTTATTACAGAACTTGTAGAGCTGTTGGTATGTCTTACCAACAAGTTTACAATATTGTAAACAAATCAGACAAGACAGGGACCGTCTCAAAAGTAAAACCGGGACGTAAAACCATCCTTGACAACTTTGACAAGGGAGTACTTAGACGGGCGGTCTACAAACTTTAGGAGAAGAAGAATATATATATTCTAAAGAAGCTACACCAGTGACTTCGTAAAATCTTTGGCCACTGTTCACAACTAGATTAAACTGACCGAATTACATCCATATTTTTGCAATGACATATACTGTTGACATGCAAAACATTTATTAAAACGTTGCACATTTCTACAATCAATCGATAAGATAACACAAGTGATAGGATTCTTTCCAATGTACAGTAATTCAATGTTTTTTCACAACAAACACACATACACAAATGATCCCTTACATAACCAATAATGTATACTATAATGCATACACATATTCAACATTTTGAAGAAAACATCTATTGAGATGACCCCTCGCCCGAGCTTGTGCTCAGGTGTCAATTTCACTTGTCGATACCGTGCATGCTGATGACGTAACACAGACAATTAATGTTTGTATCAAATAACGTCCCACTACCGCTTATTTTTCTAAGTTTTTGGCATTTTCATCAGTAAAAACGCATTTTAGGGCATGTTTCAAAATTTATTCCCTCGGTCTACATTAGGTAGATGTTTCTTAAAGTGATATTTGTTATTTAAGTAACTGTAATACCTCTGAATTTGAAATATAAGTCAAAAAGCATTTTTCTAGCATTTCCGACAGTACTTTAGTACAGTAGATTTGTAGTAAAGTTTCAAGTCGGCATGTTGTAGCTCACTGGCTTCAGTTCTCGGTACACAGTGAAGAAAGCCTAAATTCTATCGCTAAAAACTTCTTTCACATATTCGTTTAATTTTTAGAAGGGAATTATACCTTTGGTTGAAAGGTGTTTGCAAGTAATAGTAATAGGTTTATAACTAAAAAAATTTGTTAGGGTGTATTTGAGGTGTGTGAAATATATGCCATATCGCTGATCTGCCATTGAAATACTACAGGGCGTTGTTTGAGTGTTTCTAGTTATTGTTCTAAAACTTTTTTCACATCCACCTTTAATTTTTATGAGGGGAATATACCATCAGGTGATAGGTGTTTGCAAGTAATAGTGATAGTTTTATAATTTAAATTTTTTTGTTAGGGTGTATTTGAGGTGTGTGAAAAATATGACATATCGCCGATCTGTTCTGATCCGCCATTGATGCTTGTGATGCTTGAGTGTTATAGTTCTAAAACTTCTTTCTTTCTTGTTGATCTTAGTATTTGACAAAACTGGAAAGGTGTTTACAACGCTTTGTGATAGTTCTAAACTTTCTGTTCTTGAGGGGTGTGTGACAGTGTAAGTTAACATTCTGTCAATGTCCATGCCATTCCACACATGCAATAAGATATCTGAATTAATTACTAATGTAAAAAATGTCTCAAAGTAGATTCTTTTTAAAAAGGACAGCTGATGTTAACACATGTGTTCTAGTGATAGTTTTGCGTTCTTTAACATGTTTGGAGAAGGATGTGTATCATTTATTCTTTCAATCATTCACATATGTATTTCTTTCTTTTGTTCTTTTTCTTTATTTCTGTTATTCGTTCACATATAATTTTTGCTCCTCATTCATTCACCCATTGTAAAATTCAGACTGATACAATAAACTGGTTGAAGTGCTGTTAAACGCAGCCGAAGTTGCGCTGGGAACGAACCAAGTCACTGTGTACGTTGGAGCATGACGAGGCACACGCTAATTAGTACAAATGGTAAAGAAAGCAAGCGAGTGAGTGACCTATCCCTGTTGTAGATTATCCCTGATATAACTGACTTGGCAGTATGAAATAGACACACAACAGGTGAATAAGGGATTGATGTGTGGGAGAATGGCCCGAAAGGCTTTGGAATACTTTTTTGTTTCGGTGATCATTTATCAAGATCAATGTCAAATCAAGGTGATAGAGAAGGGATCTACAGTAAATCTTTTGCAGCCAGATTGGGCAGTGTTAGCATAGTGATGTGGATGGAAATTGCCCACACTGGTAGAACAAAACCTAGTGAAGAAAATATGTCAGCCTATGATGAAATCAGACAGCAGCACATTGTTCCAATGTTGAATGGTAAAGTTTAACTTGCTGTAAATATAACAATGCCAGATTTTGCACAACACTTGCAGAGGTTCCTTTTTGGATATTCCCTGGTCAAATGAATAAAGTATTTTCTTGGGGCGTGGAAGTTTGTGGGTTTGATCCCATACAGCTTCATACCAGAAAGATGTTAAAAGGTGGTACTTCCTGTCATGCTGCCTGCCCCTCAAACATTAACAAGCCCTCATTTCATCCATAGGCAATAGGTGCTAGGCACCATGTGAGTTGCACAAACACTTCAGATGATGGGCCTCATGATCTTTACCTTTGTGTTTGTGCTGGACACTTGTATCAACTCTTACTGTGTATTACTTCCCACACCTAATGTCTGGTTATGTTTCTTGTATTCTTGAGGTAAATGATGTCCCACGTATAAGTAACTAGTCCAACGCTAATTCAGTAATTGTTGTTGATAGCAACTGTTGTGTCTTGATGCAGGTCGGCTTGGGGGTAGACTGGGGAGCCAGCGTCCCAGCTCGGTCATCACAAAGACGTTTTACAGTAAAACAATTTTCATTCAACTTGATAGAAGGACGATTGTTTTGTTATATTTACAAACACATTCAAATAAGTGTCCCTGGAAACTAGAAACTGGTCTATCCCCTGTTACTCTGTACATCATATTGCAATAGATGTCCAAGGCACTGTTCATAATTTATGGCTAGGGGGTGGTGATGATTTTTAAAGAGAAGCATGTACAATGTGAATGACCTAAAATTTATATACAAAGTAAGTGTGTTAGAAAGGAGTGGGTACATGGCTTAATAGATAATTGTATATTCTATGAAATTAAGAAGGTGTCACACATGCTCATTCACCATGTGCAAAGAATAACATGATGCATGTTAAAGCTCTATTATAATTCATATCTGTGTCACCTTGCATGTACATGCTCTTGGGTCCCAGTTGTCTAACTCTAAGGCACCACAAGGTGATGTAAAATCTGTATGCCTTGGCCTGCAAGATTCACCCTGACTTGTAGCATTGGTTTATTGGAATAATCTTTATGCTTGGGCATTTCTCCTGCATATGACATGCCATAATGTCAGTGAAATACTTGCTTACTTCAGCATAGGTTAGTGGTAGTGTAAGTGCTTATAGCCCTCTGAGGACTGAGAAGCAGATACAGTCTTCACATCTGTTTCGGGGTGGTGGGGTAGCCTCGTGTTTAAAGCGTTAGCTCATCACGCTGAAGACCCGGGTTCGATTCCCCACATGGGTACAATATGTGAAGCCCATTTCTGGTGTTTCCACCCCCACCCCACCCCCCACGGTGATATTGCTGGAATATTGCTAAAAGCAGCATAAAACTAAACTCACTCACTCATATTTGTTTGCAGCCAGGGATGATTGTAACAACTACAGTGACACCCACCTCGGGAAGCAATGTCAACAGCATCAAGGCATCCACCAATGGGAACAAGTCTCAGTCCATGCAGGGCCCAACTCAAGGCCAGGCAACGGCCCTGGTTGGGGGCAAGCCTGCCGTGATGTCGGCCCAGGCTGCAGCCCAGCCCCTGGTGCTGGGACAGATAGGTAGGTGAAGCAGCAGCTGCAGCAGCTCACAGATCTACCAGGAATTGGATAGTCACAGCTAGAGTTGTGCAACTTGTATCAGGTGCATGTTGACATGAAAGCAGATTTGTTCCAGACAAAATCAGGTCCCACCATGGTCCTGGAAATGTAACTAGATATATTAAATCTCAGTTAGTTTGATGACAAACACACATATTGAAGGGGCAACTTTGATAACTCTATTTTGGAAGACTGAACACGAGAAGATATTCGAAGATTGGTGGTTCGGCTTATTTACCGGACATACCATTTTGATACTGTTTTTAGAAAATTAGACCCATGAAGGTCTGGGTTAGAATATTGATCTTCCGTAACCCATGCTTGTCGTAAGAGGCGACTTACGGGAATGGGTGGTCAGGCTCGCTGACGGGGTTGACACATGCTCATGCTGTTGATCATTGGATTGTCTGATCCAGACTCGATTATTTACAGACCGCCGCCATATAGCTGGAATAATGCTGAGTGCGGATTAAAACTGAACTCACTCACTGATACTAATTTGAAGGGTCAAGTTAGGACCTCGGCTCATGTGTGAGATCTACTTATGTACAGTCATATAAAATTATACATTACCAAACATCTCACATACCCTTATAAACTGTATGATACAACACATAATACCTTGCATACCCTTTAAGATGTTACAACACACAAGAACCAGCTCATCAACATCTGTTGGATTCATGGCTGATATGGTACAATTTCACTCCTACTTACTAGTGTCCAAAAGTTCAGAATCATGGGGCAACTTTCACACTCTAGCTTCAAGCATGTGATAGGCAACATACAGTTTTTAAAGCATGTCCTTTGTCATTGTGCAGAATGCAGCAGAATGTATCTATGCATCCATGAATGGTGGTGTTTGCTAATCTGTGAGCCATGATGCTATCGGCTGCAGCTGTTACACAGAAACAGGATGTGCAGCACTAATTGTCCCTTTGTGTGTGCAGTGTTACAACTGTGTATTGCACTTTCAGGCTCGGTGTTCTCTGGACAAGGAACTACAAACCCAAACTTTGTGGCCCAAGTTGCGGTAAGTCTTGCTCTGATCATGTGATGGTGAACACAATATTTTTCATTTTTACCCCTGACCACGATTTATGTGGAAAGGACTAACTTGATGGAGTCTGATGACAAAGTAACTGATCTGATGAGTAAATATTGACAGTTATCTTTGTCTCCTGAGCACTTGTAGACAAAGAACTGGACTGTTGTATGTTAGGCATGTTGTGGTGAACACTGTGTTTTTCCTTAGTAATGTATGGTGACTGACATTCAAAGTGTACAACTGTTCGAATGAAAACAGAAGTATGCACATGGATAAAACTGGTTTCTAAGGAAAGTGTCAATATTTCTTTGTTAGAGTGCCTTGCTTTCAGATGGAATAAGTGAACTTTCATCTTGTGTTTATCAGTGTTTATGGTGTCACAAACTTTTGAACATGAAGCAACATTATTGACATGAGGTTTTGTTAGTTCTTTGCTTTTTGTGTTAGTCTTTCATATTTATGCATACAAAATTGAATATCAATAATGACAACAACTTCTGCTCTTGTTGTTTATGGTGTTGATGTTTTCAACTTTTGACCACATATGTAAATTGTAAGTACCCCAAACATGGCCCACTAACTCTGGCCCACTAACTCTGGACCACTAACTTTGACCCACTAACTCTGGACCACTAACTCTGGCCCACTAACTCTGGACCACTAACTCTGGACCACTAACTCTGACCCACTAACTCTGGACCACTCTGGACCACTAACTCTGACCCACTTACTCTGGCCCACTAACTCTGGCCCACTAACTCTGACCCACTAACTCTGGCCCACTAACTCTGACCCACTAACTCTGGACCACTAACTCTGGACCACTATCTCTGACCCACTAACTCTGACCCACTAACTCTGGACCACTAACTCTGGACCACTAACTCTGACCCACTAACTCTGGCCCACTAAATCTGGCCCACCTACCCCTGATGTAGCATAGGACCAATCTCTAAACGTTGATCAATGGAGCGCTGGTCACATATTTGTACAAACATGTTCTGCTCATAGTCATACAGTGGAATATTGTGTGGCCTAACAAAACACATAGCAGTATTTGTGCTGACAATTACAACTGAAATAAGCTGTTTTAGGCATGTCATTTATCCAAGGAATGAATTGTATTTCACATGTATAACATGTCTGGGATTAATTATGCCATCAAAATAAGGGTACGCAATGAGTGTTTTGACATATAAATGAGTTAGCATTGTTCAGTCTGTGTTCCTGCCTGGTATGTGGGTGACCTTGCTCTAAAATCCCTGAACAGTTTCTTTATCAAAATTCAAGAATGTAAACTGTCTGTGTGACAAAACATCCCTCCTCATAGCACAAGTAAGCACTGCCATTCAAAAAAGTATGGTGTCCGAAAACGTTTGATCGGATTGTGTTGAACAAGCAGAAAGAATTCTGTAAGTTTTGTTTCCTATGGGTACACTATAACTTTAGTCTTAACAACTCTGCCTTCATCCTTGCAGTCATCCAAAGGCCAGGCAGTCTCCATCTCCCACCAGGGACAGCCGCAACTCATCACATCACAGGCGCCATTACGGCTCAGTCAGCCACAGTTGGTCACAAACACTGGCCAGATCATCACGTCACAACCCATGCTCACCAATCAGGCAGTACTTCAAGCCATGGCTAGTTTGCAACAAGGCTTCCCATTGGCTGCCCACCAGCCTCTTTTGAACCATGCACAATCCCCAGCCATCCTGGCTGGCCAATCACTGTACATCAGAACAGCTAATCCCATTCAAACACAGCAGAGCATGATGGCAGCAAATATGCAGGTAAGGATATGGTTGACCATCTAGTATGGTGAAGATGCTGTTGTGTATTGTTTAAGCTCATTTAATGCAGTCCATGTTAGAATTAGTTTTGAGCAACCCATGCTTGTAAGAGATGACTTACGAAATTGGATGGTCAGGCTTATTGGCCTGGTTGACACATGTCATCGTATCCCAATTACATAGATTGATTCTCTTGATATTGATCACTTGATTGTCTGGTCCAGACTATTACTACAGACAGACTGCTGCCATATAGCTGGAATATTGCTTAGCGTGGCGTTAAACAATATAACAACCAAATCATTTGATACAATAAACCATGTATGTAACTAACACTCTTATAGCCAGCTGATGGATGTAACCGTTTGATGTTTTGGGATTTGGCCATTTCTGAATATTTTGGTCAAATGTGTATAATGAACTACTTTTATTACAAATGAAAATTAGTGGACCCTTTGAGTTCCTTATTATAGGGACCGTGGGGTAGTCTAGTGGTGATAGCATTCGCTCAACACCCCGAAGACCCGGGTTCGATTCCCCATATGGGTACAATGTGTGAAGCCCACTTCTGGTGTCCCCTGCCGTGATATTGCTGGAATAGTGCTAAAAGTGGCGTAAAACTAGATTCACTCACTCTTTATTATAGTTTACATGGCTGCAGTAGTTATTTCTAGATATCATGTGTTTTGAAGTGTGAGTCTCATTATCCTGTTGATGGTCTGTTCCAGGCAGCCTTGGCCAACAGTATGAAGGGTGGCAAGATGGAGATGCCACAAAACCTGCAAGTTAACACAAAACCCAGTGGAGGTTCTTCAAAAAGCTCGTCACAAACTGGAAAGACTCTTCTGCCATCTAAGGCAACCACTGCCAAAATCCCACCAACTCACATATCTGGCCAAGCCACTAAACTGAACATACCAACTGTCATCCCCAAGCAGTCAAAAGGACGGACAAAATCCCAGTCCAAGTCCTCGTCATCAGTCCCCTCCACCCCCACCAGTACCAAAACACCACCTGTCAGTCACTCAAAACCAGCCACACCCACAAACCAACCAACCATTGTTGTGCCCCCAGCAAAGAGCCAATCAGATTCTGAGGTGGAAAGAGCGAAGAAGTCCACACCCCCTCCTGACATTACTTCCACCAAAGAGAAGTCTGGGAGTGTGACTGTTGATGAAGGGAGTCCGGAGGAGAAGGATAAAGACGTTATAGATGACAATGACAAGCCTCCAGTTATCACCAAGGAGGTGGAGACACCGATGGACACATCGATGCCAGATAAGCCTCCTCCACCCCTAGAGCCAGCCACCGTTGTAGAGAAGCAGAAGGCTATTGTGAAGCCGCACATACTGACTCACATCATTGAGGGCTTCATCATACAGGAAGGACCAGAACCCTTCCCAGTAAGTCTGTGTTCAGTTACACAAGAACCTCGAGGGGAGACAGCAGTGTATTGTTGGTTTGAGGAAACTTGCTGGGGAATAAGGGGGCCCTTCTTAGGATCTACAGTTGGCAGGGCAGAGTTCTTTCCCTTGGGTATGCCAGAAACGTTTGATTGTAGGTTTAAATCCTGGTTTGCTCCAGTTACGTTTCTCGGTTAGTCAGCACAGTTGGCTTTTCTCCCTCATTAATGGAATACTAAACCGTGTGGTAGGAAACCCAGCTCACACAACTGGGCAGTGTCAGTGTTGTCGGTCATTCATTTCAAGGTACTAGGCATGTTTGTCATGGGCTACTTGGATGCTCATATGGTGATGGTTGCAGGTGCAGCGGTCGTCCCTGCTGACAGAGTTCATCCCTCCCAAACCTACTCGCACAGACAAGGACTCGGATGAGGAGCTGAGTGAATCCCTGATGGACCTTCCACCTCCGCTGCTGGAGCCTGAAGGTGGGTTGTAGTGTCACGTCATACCTGCTGCTGCAGCAGGCTGGGGAATCAACTGACACTTTACATGCATGTAAAATGAACACTTGGCAGGCTTCTGAGATTGAAATGAACTTTAATTTGTCATGCATTCTCTATTGATGTATGTGCAGTGTTTGTTGATAACACTGACTCATCAAGAAGCGGTCTTTTTATGATATAATCAGATCACTTTTAAACTGTTGGTTGTCTGGCTTGATATGGAAACTATTAGCACAATAACAAACCCACGCTTCTCACCCATGATATGTATTCAGTTCATATAGCTAATGTCAAGAAATGAAATAATGATAAATACTGAAACATATGTTTAATTGACGAGGAGCTGTATGTGATGTTTTATGCTGGCAGGGCTGCCGACACGGAGCACTGAGACCCAGCAGCAACCCAATATGCTGAAGTGTGAGTACTGCGGCAAGATGGCCACGGCGGTCAAGTTCCGCCGCTCCAAGAGGTTCTGCTCCATGGCATGTGCCAAGCGTTACAACGTCGCCTGCTCAAGACGTGTTGGCTTGTTCAAAAACAAAGGTAAGAGGAAAAGGATCAATAATAGTGGTGGAGTTTGTAAATGTAGGCTTTGTTGGAGAACATGTGTGAATAATTATTCATTGTTTCATTCATTGTTACATCACCAAATTATAAAAAACCTTTCCAGATTGTAGAACAATAATATTACACATTGCCATTAAGCAGATTTTCTGCACTCTAAAACAAGTTTGCATGTCAACAGTTGTGTTATGAAGCACACACCTTTTGAGAGCATATGTTCACTCCTTCATCAGGTGAATGAATGTTGGGATGCAGAATCACTCTTCACCTGATGAAGGAGTAAGCAGATACTACAAAACTTGCTCTTCCTCATAATAAGGAACTTGACATACATGAGTTTTTTCCCTTGTATATATGGAAGACTTTTGACATTTTCAGTTGATACTTTCCTTTAGCCATTGTTCCTTTTATATAGCTAAAACTGAAGACATGCCATCACTATCAGCTGCTTACAGAATTCATGCATGATTCTAAGCATGACTGCTATGAAGACATGTTGATAAGGTCACTCAGATATCTGTCAGGTGTGGATTCTGACAAGACCATACATATGAAGAAGATTGTGTTACAAGTTATTGAGATGCAGGGGTTCAAAATATTTTTGAAAAGCCACTTACCACAGGGCAAGAAAGTAACTTGTCCTGACTAATTTTCCACTTGCTCTGATTTTATGACATAATTATGATGATGTATATCACCAGAAATTATTGAGAATTTCAGGAATATGTTTAATTGGATTTCTAGTATAAACAACCTTGACCAGCTATCAAGTGCTTGGTTTCATTCAAGAGAGACAACTCTGTTAATCCTTTTTCATTAGTTTGTGAAGGGTTATCCCCCTTTGTTTACTTGCTAGCAGACGACATTTTCAGTGATCCTCAGTATGGATGATTTAGAGAAGAGGAAGTTGATTTTAGAGTATTATAACAAGGACATCAGATCAGCTAAAGTGATTTCGAGTAGAACAGGCATCCCTTTGTCCACTGTTTATCGTGTTTTGAAAAATATTGCAAATGGATATGGCATTGAGCACCAGGGAGGCGCAGGTAGGCCCAGAAAATTGACTGTCGGTGACAGGAGGTATTCTTGTTTCTAAAAACAAACGAAGGAGTTTAGAAAACTTAAGGCTGGATATGATTGATAGAGGAACTGTGGCTGTCTGTAAGGAGACAATCAGAACTGAGCTGCATGCAATGGGTTGGTAGAAATGTCGAGGAATTCCATCACCGATCATGTAACCTTAACAAAAGGAGCGAAGGTTGAACTGGTGCTTACAGCATAGAAATTTTAACTGGGACAATGTGATGTTCTCAGATGAAAGTTCTGTGTGGCTGTTTCCTAATACACTGAAATTCTGGACCAAACAAACTGAAAAACCTTTGTATCAGCGCCCAAAGTACAGATACTTTATTAATATAATCATTGCGAAATTTAATAGCTACATTTTGAGCAGATATGAAATTAAATCCAAGTTTTTTTGCAGTTTGAATACATAAGTGGATATTATATTATCTAGTAGCCCATGGACAAGTAAGATACCATTATTTGATTGCCCGAAATGAAAACTGACTTGTCCCGGGCGTAGGGTGATGGGATTTTTGAACCCCTGAGATGGTAATGATGTGTGGACCTCTTGTCACCAGCAGGTACAGTGAAGCTGGTGAAGAAGAGGAAGCATCCCCTAGCGGTGAGGAAAGGCTGGCGACCGGGAAGAGGGGGCCGACTCGCATACAACATCAATATGAGAGTGAGCACCTCTTGTTATGAACAGCTATTTAGGACATTATTGTCCATTTATGATTTAAGTAACCTGTGAACTGTTGAAGTGTTTGTGTTTATCATTATGTCCAGACAATGTTTGTAGTAAGGTTACTGGTGTTGGATGATGTTGCTGTGTGAATGCTCCCTGTCATGTAAGTTGGTGCCTGTGTTGCAGCTGCCGGAGGAGGCCAGCAGTTCTAACAGCGGTCAGGAGGAGACTAGTTCCTCCCCCACCTCCCCCATGCCCCTGCCGGATATGGAGATGGACACACTGTCACCTTCCTCGGAACCTTCCAAGTGGACGGTAGGTTGCACTGTTGCCATCACACACGCTCACCTTCTTCAGAACCCTCCACATGGACGGTAGGTTGCACTGTTGCCATCACACACGCTCACCTTCTTCAGAACCCTCCACATGGACGGTAGGTTGCACTGTTGCCATCACACACGCTCACCTTCTTCAGAACCCTCCACGTGGACGGTAGGTTGCACTGTTGCCATCACACACGCATCACACACGCTCACCTTCTTCAGAACCCTCCACATGGACGGTAGGTTGCACTGTTGCCATCACACATCACACACGCTCACCTTCTTCAGAACCCTCCACATGGACGGTAGGTTGCACTGTTGCCATCACACATGCTCTCACCTTCCTCAGAACCTTCCACATGGACGGTAGGTTGCACTGTTGCCATCACACATGCTCTCACCTTCCTCGGAACCTTCCAAGTGGACGGTAGGTTGCACTGTTGCCATCACACATGCGCTCACCTTCTTCAGAACCCTCCACATGGACGGTAGGTTGCACTGTTGCCATCACACATGCGCTCACCTTCTTCAGAACCCTCCAAGTGGACGGTAGGTTGCACTGTTGCCATCACACATGCGCTCACCTTCTTCAGAACCCTCCACGTGGACGGTAGGTTGCACTGTTGCCATCACACACGCTCTCACCTTCCTCAGAACCCTCCACGTGGACGGTAGGTTGCACTGTTGCCATCACACACCCTCCACGCCACCTTTGCCATCACACACGCTCACCTTCTTCAGAACCCTCCACGTGGACGGTAGGTTGCACTGTTGCCATCACACACGCTCTCACCTTCCTCAGAACCCTCCACGTGGACGGTAGGTTGCACTGTTGCCATCACACACGCTCTCACCTTACTCAGAACCCTCCACATGGACGGTAGGTTGCACTGTTGCCATCACACGCTCTCACCTTCCTCAGAACCCTCGACATGGACAGTAGGTTGCACTGTTGCCATCACACACGCTTTCTCTTCCTTGTTGCTAATTCTTCTGTTCGTATGAAGTATACAGAGCTCCAGATAAGATTTAGCTCATGTGGGTACTGTACCCACTGTATTTATTTGGAGTAGGTATTATGAATGTTGAGTGGGTATTTCATTTTCTGTTACCCACTGCTTTCAAATATGTGCGTATTTCAGTCATATTACTCACCTAAGTATTATGTCATTGAGTAAGGTTACTAAGCAGGTATGTTCTGCCTTATGTCATACCTAATCAAAACCAAGTTAAATATAATGGAAATGATTTCATAAAAAATAACTCATCCTATACTGACAGTACAACACTTGTCCTATGAAAACAGTACAACTTGATAGCAATCGATGTCTTTTTCATTATGCAAGCGATTTTTATAAATATATTCCGTACGCATTTGTTTTAAACTTTTTGCGTGTCTAACATTTGGTATGCAACAATTATTTTTCAGTGCATAATTGGAAATTTTCTATGCGTATTTTACCCGGATACGCAGCTTATCTGGGCCTCTGAGTATATATGCAGCAATTCTTTGGAAATTTAAAATTAGAAACTAAAATGCATGTGTATATGCCCCACCCCCGTGTAAATCCTGGTATGTGTTGTGTGCAGGTGATGGAGGTGTACGAGTTCATCAAGTCGCTGCCGGGCTGCGCCACCTACGCGGAGGAGTTCCTGTCGCAGGAGATCGACGGCCAAGCCCTACTGCTGCTAAAGGAGGACCATCTGATGACAGCCATGAACATCAAGCTTGGCCCCGCACTCAAGATCTGTGCTCGCATATCCAGCCTCAAGGATGAGTGCGTGTAACCTTCACCAGGCTGTGCTCAAAGACAAGCAAACCATGTACTACTATGCTGTGCAACGTTCCCGAGATGGAAAACATTTACGATTGGAAGAGACTGGAATACAGTAGGCAGTGTCAGATGCCCCCTGTGTGATGACTGGACATGGTTTGAACAGGCAGCTATCAAATCAGTGGAACACATCATATCCAGCAGCTCCTGTATCTCAAGCTGAGCCTCACGGTTCATACATCATCACCAGCCTTTATTAACTAAACCAGCTCCTGTTGCACACATGGAAATTGCTTTGGTGTTGAGAGCACAGCTAGTTGTTAGAGGTCCAGACACTGTCATCTTCATCCAGATGAGTTCTACTAAATAAGTGCCATTGCTCCTATTCAAGTCAACATATGTAGATGTGATGGTCACACATGGCTGATGGGTATCAGTCAGAGTTCAGAGTATGGGCATTGACGAAACAAACCCAGTACCAAAGATACACATGTAAGCAATCCAGTGGCAGATGACAGTAATAGTCATTGGAAAAACATCACCCCAGTTCAGTGTTGTATGTCATGATACTTCATGTGTTCCATCCTTTATAAGTAGTGTAATTAGCCCCATGTAGCTACACATTATCCTGTACCTGTTTAGTCACATATTCATTATATTAGTCCAAGCATCAGTCCTCCACTTCCCAACCAGCCTAGCCAGGGTTCTCTCCCTTGAATAAGGCTATGTGTTCATTTGTGTAATGCCTGCCCACTGATGGTAAAGGAGACGGGACACAGATGTTTTTCAATCTGTGTTCCAATCGTGATGGACTGAACCAATATTCGTTCTATAGGTCATAATGCTGTAAACATTCAAAATGTTTACAGTAAATCTGGCCCACATGCCAAGGGTGTGTTGAGCTTTCCATCGGCGGTGTGTCTTTTCTCATTGCCGTCCTTGTTGTAAACACATTCATAGTAGGATGGATTTGGTTCCAGTCTTTCATTAAATATAGTCTGATGACATCTACCACTGACCTTTCTGTTTATTGTACAACTGATCATTGTACATGCATTGTGTTTCTTTTAATACAAATCGTGAAAATCCACAAGGGATTCAGGACCAAACCACCTCCATGTTCATTTCCATACATGAAAGGAATTAGTTCAGACTTTAGAAGTAGAAACAAACTAAGCCAACAGTATAACATATTCCTGATGACTGCAAGACCAGTTGAGTACCAGTCAAAGGATTCTTATTTGTCTGTTTAATATGATTAATTCATATCATGAGTTGCTCAATGTTTATTTCATCAGTGGGGTGATATTAATTACAGGTGGAAAACTTGTTTGGTTACAAGATTTGGCAAGATTCAGCTTTTCATTTTTAACTGATTTGTTCCTTACACAGAAATACAACTTCATAAAGATCATATTTAGTAAAATAAGATCTTTTGCGTATTTTTTAATGGAATTGAAATTCTGTACCATGATGGTAGTGTTTGTTGTGCAGTCCATTTTAATGCTGCAATCAATATTACATCAGTTATGCCAACTGTGTATCTATTATGCATAATTTTAATGACCATATTCATCCAGGAATGACAGACCAAATTAGAGTATCACTGTTTTCGGTCATGACAAACATGCTTAAATCTCACTACTTGCCAATGTTGAATTGTGTACATAAGCAGAAACCTACCTTATCTGTACATACTTCTTTGTAATATTTGTAGTATTGTCATTTTCTACTTCACAGAATTGGTAGCAGTTAGCCTCCAGATTAATTTTTCAAAATCTAAAAATACTACTGAGCCTAGCCTGCCAGATCATCAGAGCATGTGATGATGTTCACTACCAGTCAATGCATGTGATCGTGTTCACTACCAGGTTGTCAAGGATTGTGATCCTGTTCACTATCAGACCATCAAAGATTGTGATCCTGTTCACTATCAGACCATCAAAGATTGTGATCCTGTTCACTATCAGACCATCAAAGATTGTGATCCTGTTCACTATCAGACCATCAAAGATTGTGATCATGTTCACTGCCAGTTTGTCAAAGATTGTGATCCTGTTCACCACCAGATTGTCAAAGATTGTGATCATGTTCACCACCAGATTGTCATCTTGTTCACCACCAGATTGTCCACGATTGTGATCATGCAGGATTGTGATCACGTTCACTGCCAAGCTTGTAGTAACATCAAATCAAATAGATTTGGGAATCATCTCAGTGAGTAATGCAACACGTTATGCCAACTTCTGATAAACATGTCATGAAAAAACAGGTGTACCATTTCATCATTGTTTCCTTGTGTTAAACTTCTGTAGTCATCAGTATTGTGTCTTGTGACCTCTCTTTAAAGTATCTGTACAGTTTTATTGTGTGGCTTGTTCAAGTCCTTCCATACACTCACTTGTAAAGACATAAGTTTCTGGTTGCAAGGTGTAGAGTACCAGAAAATAACTGAAAGAAAATACTTATAGCCTGTTGGTACATACAATAACTTAAAAACATCTCTGTACACTACAGTGAGGGGCAGTGGCAAGTCGAGGCCGAGGGCCACCCTTAACATTGGTAAACTACTAAAAGCCATGAAAAACCTTGCACCCTTGATACACCATGTGTTTAACAGATTGTGTTGTGTTTTGTACGCTTTCTGCAATTTTCTTTGTTAATGCTGAGACCAAGTCTGTAGACTTAATTATTTATGGTGCTGAATAAATATCATACAGCAAAGAGCAGCATGTTGTCTGTGCAATATAGTCATGTGTTTATTATTAATTATTATTAATAGTTTGTGACACTTCATGGTTCCTCGAATTCCTCGAATCCCACATGGGTAAGACCCATTTCTGGGATTTGCTGAATCCCCACATGGGTACATTGTGTGAAGCCCATTTCTGGTGTCCCCCCACATGGGTACATTGTGTGAAGCCCATGTTGCTGGAATATTGCTAGAATATTGCTAAAAGCGGCGTAAAACCAAACTCAGTCAGTCATAATTCCTCAATGGGTACAATGTGTGAAGCCCATTTCTGGTGTTCCCCGCCGTGATATTGCTGGAATATTGCTAAAAGTGACGTAAAACCAAACTCCCTCACTCATACTTCCTCGTCATCACATCCCAATTAACGTAGATCGATGCTCATGCTGTTGATCACTGGCTTGTCTGATCCAGATTCCATTATTGACAGACCGCCGCCCAAAACTGGAATATTGTCGAGTGAGGTGTAAAACTAAATTCACTCACTCACTTCCTCCTGGTATCCTGGTGGTTAAAGCGTCCACTTGTCACGCCGAAGACCCAAGTTCGATTCCCCACATGGGTACAATGTGTGAAGCCCATTTCTGGTGCTCCCTGCCATGATATTGCTTGAATATTGCTAAAAGCGACGTAAAACTAAACACACTCACTCACTTTACACTCTCCAACCTTGATAAACCTGTGAAGATGTGTGTTAGAATTGGCCCTCAGCAACCCATGCTTGTCGTAAGAGGCGACTAACGAGATCGGGTGGTGCTGACTTGGTTGACACATGTCATCGGTTCCCAATTTCATAGATTGATGTTCTTGGTGTTGATCACTGGATTGTCTGGCCCAGACTTTATTATTTACAGATGACCACAAGTACAGTGTGAACAATAAACAAACAAAACCAAATCCAACCCTGATAAACTAGTAATAGCAAGTCAAGTCTCAAATACATCAGCCCAGACGTAGGTGGCGCCACCCTCTCCCGCCAGTCGACCGAACCATGTTATCACACTCTGCAGTACACAAAGTAATGCTGAGTGAAACCCTGCTGGATTGAACAACTCTCAGGATATAACAAAACTCACACCTGTTCCATGTTTTATTACTGGTAACATTGATTTTGTACATAAATATAAAGTTTTTCCAGTGGGATCAAATATTTTCATATATCGGTGGAAATAAAATGTGTATTCCCAGTATACTAACCTACACACAAGTAGTTGCAGGATGAGGGTAACAAAACAACATGTGGATACCTTGCTGTGGAAGACAATAACATATGATCACACTGCATTTACAAACAGGGAACCTTATGTCAGCATAGGAACTGTACATATTTTACCAACCAGAACACGAAATGGACATCGTAGTTCACAGTATCACGCAATGGTGGGGTAGAAAGCTGACTTACAAACACAGTTTTCCCTAAGTATCTGAAGAATACAGTTTACGATTGGTTGGAACAAAGAATTGAGCTATATCTTTGAGAAAATATGCTGATTTCAAACCAGAGTCCCCCCAGTGTAACAATATCATATATACAATGAATAGGACGGAGATAGTTAATCACTGAACAGTCGTAGCATGACCACTAAGACTGAAAACAGAAATAAGCTGTATTACATGCTGTGCAAGGCAACAAGGCAGGCAAGGCCCTTGGCACACTTACTTTCATATAACGTGTGATGTAAGTGCCAATGTTTTAATTCCAGATGTCTTCAGCCAACTGCTCTCAGTATGGGCTGTGTTGATGACTTCCACACATTTAGTGAATGATTAAGGCTCTGCTCCAGTATTCCTTTTATATTACGGAATGTCAGCTTCAAGAGGGAAGAAAGCTCAAACTGAAGGAGGTCTCACATGTTTACTGCGTTGGGGAAACACACAACACAGGTATGGTGTTAATAAACCCAGAAACACAATGGAGACTACTCAGAGCCAACAATCATAGGTTTCTGGTGAGCCTAAAGAACACAACTCAGCACAATGATGTGCGGCACCCTAGAGGAGTAATTAGGAAAGGAAAGTTGGATTGGTGTTACACGATTGCCAGTAATAAGTTAAGTCTCTGTACCAACGTTTTATCACCTTCTACAACAACAGTTCGACATGAATGATATGTTTATGTGATAAGTCTTTGCTTCAAGTTGACCAACCAGCTTATATATAGGCGGATTGTTACATGTAAAATTGTGTATCATTTTGGTCGGGAAGTAAGGGTTTCTCAGACCTCACCCTGTGGTGGAGATGAATGCACTTATAAAGTTACACATATTCATAATGCATGCCAAGTACATCAACAATGTACCAACAGACAGAGTTTAGTTCCCTTTTTTTTTCATTTCCCATACACAATGAGGACTTGTAAGTTAACAAATCTATAAGTTGGTGTGATAACGTATCCTCAAATGTTTGCTGTTTCCTATCACCATAGCTGTGTTTGCACATCTTGAACAAGTACAACTGTATATAGCAACTAAACATCCATGTTACAAATCTGATATAAACACGATACAAGAATACAGATAAAAAGTATTTGCACTAAATAGATAAGCATAATAGCACCATTTGAAATCTTAAAATATTTTGATTTTCTTGCAGCAGTTTGCAACCAACCTGACTAATCTAAACACGCACTCAAATTCTTTCTGAAATTGCAAATTTATCTAAATGTTAAAACCGAGATTCACCTGAATAAGCAATCTGCAACTGTCATCATGATATCAACTGTTCATCACAATTTGACACTCATTACAACAGTTTCATTTCCTTTCACACATCTTGCTTTCCATTTATTTGGATGCGACATCAATCTGCTGATCTTATCCAGGACACAGTTCACACTGTAGGAACTATCTAAATGCCTAAGTAAATAAAATATACACAAGTCAACTGTATTTGTACCTGAAAGCTGTTCTGTCACAGGGGCATATCACAAAGACGGGTAACTCAACAGTCATTGATGCATTCAATGCACCCGACTTTCTAGGCCTATGTGACTAGGTTGATTTCACACGCATGATGTTCTATGGAACAACGTATGCTGTGGCAGAAGCATAGCAAGGCATGCCACATTACATCTGATAGCAAGGACTGCACAAGAATCATGTTTTGGTCCCAGAGAAAAGGCACTGACTCACTCATTGACTTTAAGTTTAGTTTCTTTTACTTGTTATGCTGTGCTATGTTCAAAGGTGATGACAAACAGCCCATATGTGTTGCATGCCTACATTAATTGATATGCCATCTACGGAAACTATTGGCAAATAACACCCATTTTTTCACCAATGGTATTCAGAAAGCTTTATCAGTATAAAATATTCAGGAAGTTTTTGCAGGGTAAGATGTATCTGCAGCAATCCAAGCTAATGAATGGGAGTGTCTCCTACAATGTGACTGGTTGGAACATGATTAACTAGGATTAGAAACCTGGAAATCTAGACTATCCATAGCTCACAAATACTTGTTTGAATTTTTCTTATTTCAATCCCAGTTTGAGAAACCATGCCATTTGGTTTGGTGAAATAGTTATCACTTTAAATAAATATTATAAAGGAACAATATTTGTCAGATCAACTTTCTGCTGACCAGAAGGTCAGTTATCACTGAGGCGTATGACATGACTTGTTGGATCATGAAGCCAATTCAGTCCATGGTAATAGCATTCTGGAATGATGTCCCGCCTGTCTCACAAACCTGTGAGCTAACATACATAGAGAGAGCGCTTCAGAAAAATGAGCACCAAGCTTTCGATACCCTGACATTTTAACATTCAAAACCTGCACTGAACAATGTCATTTCAAATTGATTTTCCCAGGAATATACTCAATAAAACATTTAATATCTATCTCCTAAAGTAAGAAATATTATTTTGTATTTTTTAATACAAAGGTTACTTTAATACAGCCAGTATTCCAATGCCAAAGTACTTATATATTGTTTTTCTTCAGATTTAAATATCCACTTAATTACCACACCTATGTTAAGACATTATCACCTACGGTGCATTGGACAATAGATCCTATCTACAATTTGAATCCATGGATGACAGCTGTTAAGCTATTGTACATTCATGACAGATGACGTCTGGCCATTTAGTTACAAATTTCATGTGACCTAACATTTCTTGCTTAACTTCAACAATGATCAAGTGAAAGAACTGCAAGCACTTCACATTGAGTTGACTGGCCTGGCGTCTATGGGTCTACGAATGAGATCATGATGTATCTTGTGCCGTTGGTCACACGTAGTCCTTCATGGTAGTGTGTCAAGCGACCTGGGTGCATCAACATCCACCCTTTCCTGGTGGCCGTCACCTTGCAGTCGTAGCGGATGAAGCGGCATCCACCACCCTGCAAACAGAAACCGCAGGTGAGACCTTGTCAAAACATCATGAACACAGGTGTCAGGATAGGACTGAACTCGCCCATCATGAACACTGGTGTCAGAATGGGACCAAACGCACCCATCATGAACACTGGTGTCAGAATGGGACCAAACTCACCGATCATGAACACTGCATCAGGATGGGACCAAACTCACCCATCATGAACACTGGTGTCAGGATGGGACTGAACTCACCCATCATGAACACTGGTGTCAGGATGGGACCAAACTCACCCATCATGAACACTGGTGTCAGGATGGGACCAAACTCACCCATCATGAACACTGGTGTCAGAATGGGACCAAACTCACCCATCATGAACACTGCATCAGGATGGGACCAAACTCACCCATCATGAACACTGGTGTCAGGATGGGACTGAACTCACCCATCATGAACACTGGTGTCAGGATGGGACTGAACTCACCCATCATGAACACTGGTGTCAGGATGGGACCAAACTCACCCATCATGAACACTGCATCAGGATGGGACTGAACTCACCCATCATGAACACTGGTGTCAGGATGGGACTGAACTCACCCATCATGAACACTGGTGTCAGGATGGGACCAAACTCACCCATCATGAACACTGGTGTCAGGATGGGACCAAACTCATCCAATCATAAACACTGCATCAGGATGGGACTAGACACTCCACCCATCATGAACACTGGTGTCAGGATGGGATTGAAACTCACCCATCATGAACACTGGTGTCAGGATGGGACCAAACTCACCGATCATGAACACTGCATCAGGATGGGACCAAACTCACCATCATGAATCACTGAACACTGCATCAGGATGGGGCCAAACTCACCCATCATGAACAGTGGTGTCAGGATGGGACCAAACTCACCCATCATGAACACTGCATCAGGATGGGACCAAACTCACCCATCATGAACACTGGTGTCAGGATGGGACCAAACTCACCCATCATGAACACTGCATCAGGATGGGACTAAACACATCCATCCATCATGAACACTGGTGTCAGGATGGGACCAAACTCACCCATCATGAACAGTGGTGTCAGGATGGGACCAAACTCACCCATCATGAACACTGGTGTCAGGATGGGACCAAACTCACCCATCATGAACACTGCATCAGGATGGGACTGAACTCACCCATCATGAACACTGGTGTCAGGATGGGACTGAACTCACCCATCATGAACACTGGTGTCAGGATGGGACTGAACTCACCCATCATGAACACTGCATCAGGATGGGACCAAACTCACCCATCATGAACACTGGTGTCAGGATGGGACTGAACTCACCCATCATGAACACTGGTGTCAGGATGGGACCAAACTCACCCATCATGAACACTGGTGTCAGGATGGGACCAAACTCACCCATCATGAACACTGCATCAGGATGGGACTAAACTCACCCATCATGAAAACTGGTGTCAGGATGGGATCAAACTCACATCATGAACACTGGTGTCAGGATGGGACAAACTCTCACCCATCATGAACACTGCATCAGGATGGGACTGAACTCACCCATCATGAACACTGGATCAGGATGGGACTGAACTCACCAATCATGAACACTGCATCAGGATGGGACCAAACTCACCTATCATGAATGCTGGTGTCAGGATGGGACCAAACACACCAATCATAAACACTGCATCAGGATGGGACTAGACACATCCATCCATCATGAACACTATCAGCGGAATGGGATTGAACTGATTGCTTATCCCTGATGTCCAAACAAAGAAGGAAGATGGGTAACATGTCTGGCATGTTGAATACTGATGTCACACTGGCACAAAGCAATATCAGTCAAACTACAATTCCTCCTTGCCAGTGGGGCAGGCCTTGCTTCATCTAAGGCTGGATGTATATAGCAGCATGGCAATACACTGGAAGACCTGACACAATGTATATCTACTACTAATGTGTACAGTACCTCGAAGTCCACCCCGGGACTGTTGAGGGCGAGGTTGACGGTGTAGGTGGAGGAATCATGGTGTGGACGCAGCAGAGGCTGCTCATCCGGTCTGTACCTCACGACGAAGTTCATGATAGCATGGGGAGGCTGAAAAACATAGAATGTACGGTAGGTTAAAAATATGTCCAGGAACACTTACATCACGGAACAACTCTCAACATTCATCACAGCTACGGCCAGGAACACTTACATCATGGAGCAACTCTCAACATTCATCACAGCTATGGCCAGGAACACTTACATCACTGGAGCAACTCTCAACATTCATCACAGCTATGGCCAGGAACACTTACATCATGGAGCAACTCTCAACATTGATCACAGCTATGGCCAGGAACACTTACATCATGGAGCAACTCTCAACATTCATCATAGCTATGGCCAGGAACATCACAGCTACTGGAGCAACTCTCAACATTGGGCCAGGAACACTTACATCATGGAGCAACTCTCAACATTCATCACAGCTATGGCCAGGAACACTTACATCATGGAGCAACTCTCAACATTGATCACAGCTATGGCCAGGAACACTTACATCATGGAGCAACTCTCAACATTCATCACAGCTATGGCCAGGAACACTTACATCATGGAGCAACTCTCAACATTCATCACAGCTATGGCCAGGAACACTTACATCATGGAGCAACTCTCAACATTCATCACAGCTATGGCCAGGAACACTTACATCATGGAGCAACTCTCAACATTCATCACAGCTATGGCCAGAACACTTACCATGGAACACTTACATCATGGAGCAACACTCTCAGCATTGATCACAGCTATGGCCAAGAACACTTACATCATGGAGCAACTCTCAACAACTCTATGGCCAGGAACATTGATCATGGAGCAACTCTCAACATTGCTACAGCCAGGAACACTTACATCATGGAACAACTCTCAACATTGATCACAGCTATGGCCAGGAACACTTACATCATGGAGCAACTCTCAACATTCATCACAGCTATGGCCAGGAACACTTACATCATGGAGCAACTCTAAGCATTGATGACAGCTATGGCCAGGAACACTTACATCAAGGAACAACTCTCAGCATTCATCACAGCTATGGCCAGAAACACTTACATCATGGAACAACTCTCAACATTCATCACAGCTATGGCCAGGAATACTTACATCATGGAACAACTCTCAACATTGATCACAGCTATGGCCAGGAATACTTACATCATGGAAGTAACCTTGAAAGACTTTCTCCTGCAGGGGGCGGACATATTTACGGAGGATATGGAGCCAGTGTCTCTCAAAACCCACTTGGTTCATATGTATATCTACAGTAGGGACATTCTCGTAGCCTGTTGCCAACCTTGGATCCTGCAACACAGAGCATCACCATGTACACTTCCAGTGCTGCAGTAGATGAGCATCATAAAGACTGCAAACTTGCCGCAAAAGAAATGAATTATATACATATATCCACACTCTCTATTAATGGTGTTCACGTTGGGTGTACTTTCATACGATTATATACATATATCCACACTCTCTATTAATGGTGTTCACGTTGGGTGTACTTTCATACGATTATATACATATACCCACACTCTCTATTAATGGTGTTCACGTTGGGTGTACTTTCATATGATTATATACATATATCCACACTCTCTATTAATGGTTGGGTTCACGCTCTCTATTAATGGGTTCACGTACTTTCATACGATTATATACATATATCCACACTCTCTATTAATGGTGTTCACGCTGGGTGTACTTTCATAACGATTATATACATATATCCACACTCTCTATTAATGGTGTTCACGCTGGGTGTACTTTCATACATATATCCACATTATATACATATATCCACACTCTCTATTAATGGTGTTCACTCTCTATTAATGGGTGTACTTTCATATTATATATTATATACATATATCCACACTCTCTATTAATGGTGTTCACGCGATTGGGTGTACTTTCATATGACATATACATATATCCACACTCTCTATTAATGGTGTTCACGCTTGGGTGTACTTTCATACGATTATATACATATATCCACACTCTCTATTAATGGTGTTCACGTTGGGTGTACTTTCATCATACGATTATATACATATATCCACACTCTCTATTAATGGTGTTCACATTGGGTGTACTTTCATACGATTATATACATATATCCACACTCTCTATTAATGGTGTTCACATTGGGTGTACTTTCATACGATTATATACATATATCCACACTCTCTATTAATGGTGTTCACGTTGGGTGTACTTTCATACGATTATATACATATATCCACACTCTCTATTAATGGTGTTCACGTTGGGTGTACTTTCATACGATTATATACATATATCCACACTCTCTATTAATGGTGTTCACGTTGGGTGTACTTTCATACGATTATATACATATATCCACACTCTCTATTAATGGTGTTCACGCTTGGGTGTACTTTCATACGATTATATACATATATCCACACTCTCTATTAATGGTGTTCACGTTGGGTGTACTTTCATACGATTATATACATATATCCACACTCTCTATTAATGGTGTTCACGTTAGGTGTACTTTCATACCTCATTTTTTCCACCTGACCACTGTCCAAAGTTTTCCATTGTATCTACAAAGTCTTTACAAAATTGCTCAGTGACGACGGGGAACCAAAATACATCAGGACATGGCTGAAAGGGAAACAGACAAAGACATTATAGGTAAATAAATCTTGTGGTTAACACACACCATTTTCTAATAACCAAAACTGTCTAAAAAACAAGTCTCCAATTTAAGCCAAGTCATGTCCACTAAGATTTGCACTTTACTTAGAAAGTAACATGTGTTACATTTGACTGACCACTTTCTAACAATCTATTGGTCATATCTTTTGGCAATGGTAGCCATGGCGATTTACACTTGTTGCAAAAAGTATTAGATTTACACTATCATTCTTATGGACACCTTGGGGGCCAAGTCTGTAGTGTGGCTGAATCAGTGTGCAGGTGTGCCTCACTCTGTGAGTGTGGATCAAATCCCTGTTGGGTCTTAAACCAAAAGTGTGCTAGAATTTGTACTTTACAAAGGAAGTGTAACTTTTGATATACTTGTTACATTGAACTCTTTGGCTCTCTATTCAAATTGACCATCTCCAAAGAGAAGTGTGTTTTTAGATGTTCACTGATGTGTTCAACTCTGTTTGTAAAGTCTGGACTGAAAAAGCAGTTGACACTGATGCAAGACCGCATGTGAGTAAATAAGCTGTAAAGGCGAAGGATCACATGGGCTGATGACGGCACCAACCTGCAATATGTCAGCATCCTCATTCAAAGACTTGGCATAGTCAGGGTGAATGTACCTTTCCTCCCATTCCTGGTAACACAAAGAAACTAAAGTCAGCATCCAACTCCGACATGGCATGCCATTAATCAAGGCACCCTGTGGGTGTCATGAAAATTAACATGATGGTGAATAAACTAGCAGGAAACAATGTAATAAATATCTAGCTTCTGCAACAAACTTCACTGTGTTGATAACTGCTACAGAATATAGTTTACTCACACTACACATGAATGTTAAACACATCCACATGTCCATCTGTCCTACTACCCGTGAAGATCCGCGTAACCCATGCTTGTTGTAAGAGGTGACTTACGGGATTGGGCGGTCAGGCTTGCTGACTTGGTTGACATGTATCATTGTATCCCAATTGCGTAGATCGATGTCTGTGCTGTTGATCCCTGGATTGTCTATATCGCTGGAATGCTGCTGAGTGCGGTGTCAAACAACAACCAACCAACCGACCAACCAACCACAAGTCCTACTGCAGGCTATCGTAGACTCAGCACAGGCATGTGCATCCAATATGCAGAAATGTCTATGTGGCCACAGAAAACAAATACATTGCATCCTGAGAGATGCACAGAAATCTACCCAAACATTCTACAAGAACTATCAAGGTCGTATTATTACTGTAGTTATGAAATCTTACTGTACAGTGCACTACACCATTTCAATACATTACAGGACCCTTCAACGCAATTATTCGGGTTCCCTTTGGCCTCAGTTTTGTAGGTCAAAACCCTGTTGTCATACTGACCGTGGGGTTGTTGAATATATCGAACATGTCATTGACATAATGGTCTGTCTCATAGTGGTCCACTTCTACCAGGTGTCCAAACTTCTGTCTGTTTGTCACATACAGGAAGCTGCCCTGAAACAGAAGAAATCAATGTATGTTACAATTCTTACCAATGCTTGTAAATTATATCAGCTGCTTCTGACAGATGGTGAGGCATTGGCGTCAACAAACATGCATCTCCATGCATCAATGTGTGGAACATTTGTTTACTTGCAACGTTACATATATGCCCCTCTCGGCGGTTATCACTGACAACTTTCATTTACAGTGATACCTGTAATACAAGATATAACACACCGATCTTGGGGGTCATTACTGACTACTTTCACCGTACCATCAGGAACAGAAATGTGAAATGAAACCCTCCTATGAGTGGAAACATGGGCTGACCACAAACTACTGCATGTCCTATCAAATATTTGACTGACTGACTGACTGAGTTTGGTTTTACGCCGCTTTTAGCAATATTCCAGCAACATCACGGCGGGTGACACCAGAAATGGGCTTCACACATTGTACCCATGTGGGGATTCGAACCCGGGTCTTCAGCGTGACAAGCCAACGCTTTAACCATTAGGCTACCCCACCGCCCCTGAAATATTTGATGAAAGGGACCAAGTATTACTGAGCTTACCTGATCTCGAACATGTTTAGTGAAGGACATATCTGGGTCGAGCTCGGAGTTGATTGAGTATGCATTCCTGAGACTGGGTAGTTTCTGTCCCTGCACCAGGTATGTGGAGCTGATGAATGGCACATTCCACAGGCCCCTGCGTGGAAAGGGACCTCATATAAATGGGTTTATTTCTCACCAGTAAACTAAGGAGGCAATGCTAACATCAAGGTCATGCATCATACTAAGGCCCTGCAACAGCCACCTTGAAGTCAGTGTTAAAGGCCTTGCATCATACTAAGGCCCTGCAACAAGCACCTTGAAGTCAGTGTTAAAGGCCTTGCATCATACTAAGGCCCTGCAAGAAGCACCTTGAAGTCAGTGTTAAAGGCCTTGCATCATACTAAGGCCCTGCAACAAGCAACTTGAAGTCAGTGTTAAAGGCCTTGCATCATACTAAGGCCCTGCAACAAGCACCTTAAAGTCAGTGTTAAAGGCCTTTCATCACACTAAGGCCCTGCAACAGCCACCTTGAAGTCAGTGTTAAAGGCCTTGCATCATACTAAGGCCCTGCAACAAGCACCTTGAAGTCAGTGTTAAAGGCCTTGCATCATACTAAGGCCCTGCAACAAGCACCTTGAAGTCAGTGTTAAAGGCCTTGCATCATACTAAGGCCCTGCAACAGCCACCTTGAAGTCAGTGTTAAAGGCCTTGCATCATACTAAGGCCCTGCAACACTTGCATCATACTAAGGCCCTGCAACAAGCACCTTAAAGTCAGTGTTAAAGGCCTTGCATCATACTAAGGCCCTGCAACAAGCACCTTGAAGTAAGTGTAAAGGCTTGCATCAGGCCCTGCAAGAAGCACCTTGAAGTCAGTGTTAAAGGCCTTGCATCATACTAAGGCCCTGCAACAAGCAACTTGAAGTCAGTGTTAAAGGCCTTGCATCATACTAAGGCCCTGCAACAAGCACCTTAAAGTCAGTGTTAAAGGCCTTTCATCACACTAAGGCCCTGCAACAGCCACCTTGAATTCAGTGTTAAAGGCCTTGCATCATACTAAGGCCCTGCAACAAGCAACTTGAAGTCAGTGTTAAAGGCCTTGCATCATACTAAGGCCCTGCAACAAGCACCTTGAAGTCAGTGTTAAAGGCCTTGCATCATACTAAGGCCCTGCAAGAAGCACCTTGAATTCAGTGTTAAAGGCCTTGCATCATACTAAGGCCCTGCAAGAAGCACCTTGAAGTCAGTATTAAAGGCCTTGCATCATACTAAGGCCCTGCAAGAAGCACCTTGAAGTCAGTGTTAAAGGCCTTGCATCATACTAAGGCCCTGCAACAAGCACCTTGAATTCAGTCTTAAAGGCCTTGCATCATACTAAGGCCCTGCAAGAAGCACCTTGAAGTCAGTGTTAAAGGACTTCAGTACTCACACTTTCTTTGTCTCCACTATGTCTGCATAGTCTTCAGATCTGGCATAGAATCCTTTTGGTCCCAAGGCACCCCAGAAGTTGGACCACAGCTTGCCCACCCTGGACACCAGTGGAGCTATCACAGACCTAGTGAAAACATTAAATACTTCATTATTAAACTATAAAAATTCCTGTTTCCACATAAAAGTGATATGACTTCATACTTTTCTTCTATATTGAGTCTGAAGAGTAGTATGGGCAGAAATACCTTTCAGAAAACAGATGTGAAGGTACAACTAACCTGTTTTGCTGAATAAGCAGTTTCAAAGCTTCTGGTTCCTCATATCGGGCATCAGAGTCAATGACCCACAGATAATTGCAGTTCTTCTTGATGCACTCCGCTCTGCAAAATGTATTATTGAACACATCAATTCACAATGTCAGCAATGAACACACGTGTCAGCTGTTCAGGTTGTTTTGTCGCTCTCTACATACAAAGATAGCAATGATCACAACCATTTGGAAGTGACCACGATCACCACATAGTGGATGCTCAGCAGCCTGTCCCAGTTTCAGATTCAGAAGCCTTCAATATAACAATCCAACAATTGTGAATCCACTCACATGGCCCAGTTCCTGCCCATGGCTTCACCAACTCCATCATAGGGGCCTATGGATGTTACAGACTGGTATTCATCCTGGTATTCATCGATGAACGCCTCCACTGTCTTTCTGTGAGTGTCTTCCTGTTACACAAGCGCCATAAGTTACAATGGTTACACATCCATCATACACAAGATATTGGGTATGCCTTTCAATTTATCAAGGTAATTTTCAGCCACTACAGAACAAAGTGGCCATGTTTATAAGTCCTGTTTCTTCTATTGGGGCAATATATGTTTTGTCTTTGTAGCCAAAATGGTCTCAAAGGGTACAGCTAAACGTTTATACAGCTTGAGCTTCATCTATAAAGGTGTGTCTCCAATAACAGGGTCAGCTTCATACAACCACATCATGCAAGGAGTTGTCTCCCTTTATTTACATACATAATTTGTCAGGAGTACTTACCAAGTTGTGAATATACAGGTCCATCCTGGACTTGGGGTAGTTCTGACTGGCTACAGCTTCCAAAAACTCCTCCAAGAATGGTGTTGATCTCTCAATGAAAAGGGCTACTAGCACTGTCGGGTAGTCCTCCTCCTGCAAGGGAGAACACAAGGCACATCACCACTGACACCATCTGGGGCGTCTTGATACAATCCAGTGTTAAGTATCACCACCCAACACAATCCAGTGTTACATATCACCACCCAACACAAACCAGTGTTAAACATCACCACCCAACACAATCCAGTGTTACATATCACCACCCAACACAAACCAGTGTTACACATCACCACCCAACACAATCCAGTGTTACACATCACCACCCAACACAATCCAGTGTTACACATCACCACCCAACACAATCCAGTGTTACATATCACCACCCAACACTATCCAGTGTTACATATCACCATCCAACACAAGGCAGTGTTACTTATCACTACCCAACACAATCCAGTGTTACATATCACCACCCAACACAAACCAGTGTTACACATCACCACCCAACACAATCCAGTGTTACACATCACCACCAAACACAATCCAGTGTTACACATCACCACTCAACACAATCCAGTGTTACATATCACCACCCAACACAATCCAGTGTTACATATCACCACCAAACACAATCCAGTGTTACACATCACCACTCAACACAATCCAGTGTTACATATCACCACCCAACACAATCCAGTGTTACATATCACCACCCAACACAATCCAGTGTTACATATCACCACCCAACACTATCCAGTGTTACATATCACCACCCAACACAATCCAGTGTTACATATCACCACCCAACACTATCCAGTGTTACTTATCACCATCCAACACAAGGCAGTGTTACTTATCACCACCCAACACAATCCAGTGTTACATATCACCACCCAACACAAGGCAGTGTTACATATCACCACCCAACACAAGGCAGTGTTACATATCACCACCCAACACTATCCAGTGTTACATATCACTACCCAACACAAGGCAGTGCTACTTATCACCACCCAACACAATCCAGTGTTACATATCACCACCCAAAACAAGGCTATTACTACTTATCACCACCCAACACAAACCAGTGTTACTTATCACCACCCAACACAATCCAGTGTTACATATCACCACCCAACACAATCAAGTGTTACATATCACCACCCAAAACAAGGCTATTACTACTTATCACCACCCAACACAAACCAGTGTTACTTATCACCACCCAACACAATCCAGTGTTACATATCACCACCCAAAACAAGGCTATTACTACTTACCACCACCCAACACAATCCAGTGTTACTTATCACCACCCAACACAATCCAGTGTTACATATCACAAGGCAGTGTTACATATCACCACCAAACACAAGGCAGTGTTACATATCACAAGGCAGTGTTACATATCACAACCCAAAACAAGGCTATTACTACTTATCACCACCCAACACAAACCAGTGTTACATATCACCACCCAACACAATCCAGTGTTACATATCACAAGGCAGTGTTACATATCACCACCCAACACAATCCAGTGTTACATATCACAAGGCAGTGTTACATATCACCACCAAACACAAGGCAGTGTTACATATCACCACCCAAAACAAGGCTATTACTACTTATCACCACCCAACACAAACCAGTGTTACATATCACCGCCCAACACAATCCAGTGTTACATATCACAAGGCAGTGTTACATATCACCACCAAACACGAGGCAGTGTTACATATCACCACCCAACACAAGGCAGTGTTACATATCACCACCCAAAACAAGGCAGTGCTACATATCACCACCCAACACAAACCAGTGTTACATATCACCACCCAACACAATCCAGTGTTACATATCACAAGGCAGTGTTACATATCACCACCCAACACAAGGCTGTGTTACTTATCACCACTCAACACAATCCAGTGTTACATATCACCACCCAACACAATCCAGTGTTACATATCACCACCCAACACAAGGCAGTGTTACATATCACCACCCAACACAAGGCTGTGTTACTTATCACCACCCAACACAATCCAGTGTTACATATCACCACCCAACACAAGGCAGTGTTACATATCACCACTTAACACAATCCAGTGTTACATATCACCAACACTATCGGTGTTACACCAATCACCACCCATCCAGTGTTACATATCACCACCCAACACTGTATCCAGTGTTACATATCACCACCCAACACAATCCAGTGTTACTTATCACCACACCCAACACTATCCGGTGTTACATATCACCACCCAACACAAGGGCAGTGTTATCACATCACCACCAACACAATCCAGGTGTTACATATCACCACCCAACACTATCCAGTGTTACATATCACCACCTAACACAATCCAGTATCACCACCCAACACAATCCAGTGTTACATATCACCACCCAACACTATCCAGTGTTACATATCACCACCCAACACAATCCAGTGTTACACATCACCACCCAACACAATCCAGTGTTACATATCACCACCCAACACAATCCAGTGTTACATATCACCACCCAACACAATCCAGTGTTACATATCACCACCCAACACAATCCAGTGTTACATATCACCACCCAACACAATCACCACCCAACAGTTACTTATCACCACCCAACACAATCCAGTGTTATATCACCACCCAACACAATCCAGTGTTACATATCACCAACCAATCCAGTGTTAAGTATATCACTACCCAACACAAATCCAGTGTTACATATCACCACCCAACACAAGGCAGTGTTACTTATCACCACCCAACACAATCCAGTGTTACATATCACCACCCAACACAATCCAGTGTTACTTATCACCACCCAACACAATCCAGTGTTACGTATCACCACCCAACACAATCCAGTGTTACATATCACCTGCCAACACAATCCAGTGTTACATATCACCACCCAACACAATCCAGTGTTACTTATCACCACCAAACACAATCCAGTGTTACGTATCACCACCCAACACAATCCAGTGTTACATATCACCACCCAACACAATCCAGTGTTACATATCACCACCCAACACAAGGCAGTGTTACATATCACCACCCAACACAATCCAGTGTTACATATCACCACCACCAATCACCACACAATCCAGTGTTACATATCACCACCCAACACAATCCAGTGTTACATATCACCACCCAACACAATCCAGTGTTACATATCACCACCCAACACAATCCAGTGTTACTTATCACTACCCAACACAAGGCAGTGTTACATATCACCACCCAACACAATCCAGTGTTACATATCACCAGCCAACTCAATCCAGTGTTACTTATCACTACCCAACACAATCCAGTGTTACTTATCACCGCCCAACACAAACCAGTGTTACATATCACCACCCAACTCAATCCAGTGTTACATATCACCAGCCAACTCAATCCAGTGTTACTTATCACTACCCAACACAATCCAGTGTTACTTATCACCACCCAACACAAACCAGTGTTACATATCACCACCCAACACAATCCAGTGTTACACATCACCACCCAACACAATCCAGTGTTACACATCACCACCCAACACAATCCAGTGTTACACATCACCAGCCAACTCAATCCAGTGTTACACATCACCACCCAACACAATCCAGTGTTACACATCACCAGCCAACTCAATCCAGTGTTACACATCACCACCCAACACAATCCAGTGTTACACATCACCACCCAACACAATCCAGTGTTACATATCACCACCCAACACAATCCAGTGTTACACATCACCACCCAACACAATCCAGTGTTACACATCACCACCCAACACAATCCAGTGTTACACATCACCAGCCAACTCAATCCAGTGCTACTTATCACTACCCAACACAATCCAGTGCTACTTATCACTACCCAACACAAACCAGTGTTACATCTCACCAGCCAACTCAATCCAGTGCTACTTATCACCACCCAACACAAACCAGTGTTACTTATCACCAGCCAACTCAATCCAGTGTTACTTATCACTACCCAACACAATCCAGTGTTACTTATCACCACCCAACACAATCCAGTGTTACATAATACCACCCAACACAATCCAGTGTTACATATCACTACCCAACACAATCCAGTGTTACTTATCACCGCCCAACACAAACCAGTGTTACATATCACCACCCAACACAATCCAGTGTTACATATCACCAGCCAACTCAATCCAGTGTTACTTATCACTACCCAACACAATCCAGTGTTACTTATCACCGCCCAACACAAACCAGTGTTACATATCACCACCCAACACAATCCAGTGTTACATATCACCACCCAACACAATCCAGTGTTACATATCACTACTCAACACAAGGCAGTGCTACATATCACCATTCAACACAATCAAGTATTACATAATACCACCCAACACAATCCAGTGTTACATATCATCACCAAACACAAGGCTATCCCTCCAGATCTTTGGCATAAAAATACCACTGACCTTGAGCCCTTCTAGACTGATGGTATCTTCCTCACAACTCTGACATCCATGTTGGATTGTCCAGCCATCAGCAAGATAGTTTGCAATGCGGTTGAACTCAGCCTGCAAGTAAACAGTGTTAAAACAAATGTTCCCATAGTCAAAGTACACTACAAATAACAGATTGTGAGATTTCAGTAATAACACAACAATGAACACATTTCTGACTGCTGAGAGTACTGTAACTATGTAACTATGAACAAATCAGCTCCTGTTTAGCATTTAATGAATGGTGGTCTTCTGTAGTGTAGTTCTACCTTAATTGGTCCATTCCCATGTACAACCGTAGGGGAGGTGCCTGACTTGAGGTTGTAGAGGTAGCTGCGGCTCCCCAGTGACTTGATTACAACTTCACCTGCACACCAACACAGTAATTTGCAACTTTTCTTTCTTGTTAACAGCAACATAGTCCATACAAAGTAATATTCAGGTAAAAAATCCAGCACGCTATGTTTTATACTGATTTAAATGTGATTAAAAAATATGGCTATACTCACCAAGAGCACCATTAAGATTCTGGAAGATTTCTGACCTGGTGTCGAGTTTAATTCTCCATTTGTCCTGAAATAAGACAACTGATAATCAGCATGAGAAGTCCTGAAGGGTTCACATCAACACTTTCAGTTAACAAGACGAGTAAGTGTATCCAGGGCATTATTCAGACAGGAACATTACATCCTTGTTGTGATAAAACAGCACATTCAGCAAAGAGCAGCACTGACCCTCAAGTTCTCGTCCAGGAAGATCTTGGTGTAGTAGAGTTGGTCATCATCTCGGTTGCTCACAGACTCATGTGTTATCATCTCATACACATCCTTGGCATAGCCCATGAAACCTGGAGATGATATCATCATGTTAAAGTCTAGCATCGCATACACATCACTGGCATAGCCAATGAAACCTGGTGACGATATCATCATGTTAAAGTCTAGCATCGCATACACATCACTGGCATAGCCAATGAAACCTGGAGACGATATCATCATGTTAAAGTCTAGCATCGCATACACATCACTGGCATGCCCCCATGAAACCTGGAGATGATATCATCATGTTAAAGTCTAGCATTGCATACACATCACTGGCATGCCCCCATAAAACCTGGAGACGATTCATCATGTTACAGTGTAGCATCGCATACACATCACTGGCATGCCCCCATAAAACCTGGAGATGATATCATCATGTTAAAGTCTAGCATCGCATACACATCACTGGCATGCCCCCATGAAACCTGGAGATGATATCATCATGTTAAAGTCTAGCATCGCATACACATCACTGGCATGCCCCCATAAAACCTGGAGACGATTCATCATGTTACAGTCTAGCATCGCATACTCATCTCTGGCATGCCCCCATAAAACCTGGAGACGATATCATCATGTTACAGTCTAGCATTGCATACACATCACTGGCATGCCCCCATAAAACCTGGAGATGATATCATCATGTTACAGTCTAGCATCGCATACACATCACTGGCATGCCCCCATAAAACCTGGAGATGATATCATCATGTTACAGTCTAGCATCGCATACACATCACTGGCATGCCCCATGAAACCTGGAGACGATATCATCATGTTACAGTCTAGCATCGCATACACATCACTGGCATGCCCCCATGAAACCTGGAGACGATATCATCATGTTACAGTCTAGCATCGCATACTCATCACTGGCATGCCCCCATGAAACCTGGAGATGATATCATCATGTTACAGTCTAGCATCGCATACTCATCTCTGGCATGCCCCCATGAAACCTGGAGATGATATCATCATGTTACAGTCTAGCATCGCATACTCATCACTGGCATGCCCCCATGAAACCTGGAGATGATATCATCATGTTAAAGTCTAGCATCGCGCATACTCATCTCTGGCATGCCCCCATGAAACCTGGAGACGATATCATCATGTTAAAGTCTAGCATTGCATACACATCACTGGCATGCCCCATGAAACCTGGAGATGATATCATCATGTTAAAGTCTAGCATTGCATACTCATCTCTGGCATGCCCCCATGAAACCTGGAGATGATATCATCATGTTACAGTCTAGCATCGCATACTCATCTCTGGCATGCCCCAATAAAACCTGGAGACGATATCATCATGTTACAGTCTAGCATCGCGCATACTCATCTCTGGCATGCCCCCATAAAACCTGGAGACGATATCATCATGTTACAGTCTAGCATTGCATACACATCACTGGCATGCCCCCATAAAACCTGGAGATGATATCATCATGTTACAGTCTAGCATCGCATACTCATCTCTGGCATGCCCCCATAAAACCTGGAGAGACGATATCATCATGTTACAGTCTAGCATGTCATGCACATCACTGGCATGCCCCCATATGAAACCTGGAGACGATATCATCATGTTACAGTCTAGCATCGCATACACATCACTGGCATGCCCCCATGAAACCTGGAGACGATATCATCATGTTACAGTCTAGCATCGCATACTCATCTCTGGCATGCCCCCATAAAACCTGGAGACGATATCATCATGTTACAGTCTAGCATCGCATACACATCACTGGCATGCCCCCATGAAACCTGGAGACGATATCATCATGTTACAGTCTAGCATCTCATACACATCTCTGGCATGCCCCCATAAAACCTGGAGACGATATCATCATGTTAAAGTCTAGCATCGCATACACATCACTGGCATGCCCCCATGAAACCTGGAGATGATATCATCATGTTACAGTCTAGCATGTCATACACATCACTGGCATGCCCCCATGAAACCTGGAGACGATATCATCATGTTACAGTCTAGCATCGCATACACATCACTGGCATGCCCCCATGAAACCTGGAGATGATATCATCATGTTACAGTCTAGCATGTCATGCACATCACTGGCATGCCCCCATAAAACCTGGAGACGATATCATCATGTTACAGTCTAGCATCGCGATACACATCACTGGCATGCCCCCATGAAACCTGGAGACGATATCATCATGTTACAGTCTAGCATGTCATACACATCACTGGCATGCCCCCATAAAACCTGGAGACGATATCATCATGTTACAGTCTAGCATGTCATACACATCACTGGCATGCCCCCATGAAACCTGGAGACGATATCATCATGTTACAGTCTAGCATGTCATGCACATCACTGGCATGCCCCCATGAAACCTGGAGACGATATCATCATGTTACAGTCTAGCATGTCATGCACATCACTGGCATGCCCCCATGAAACCTGGAGACGATATCATCATGTTACAGTCTAGCATGTCATGCACATCACTGGCATGCCCCCATGAAACCTGGAGACGATATCATCATGTTACAGTCTAGCATGTCATGCACATCTCTGGCATGCCCCCATGAAACCTGGAGACGATATCATCATGTTACAGTCTAGCATCGCGATACACATCACTGGCATGCCCCATGAAACCTGGAGACGATATCATCATGTTACAGTCTAGCATGTCATGCACATCACTGGCATGCCCCATGAAACCTGGAGACGATATCATCATGTTACAGTCTAGCATGTCATACACATCACTGGCATGCCCCCATGAAACCTGGAGACGATATCATCATGTTACAGTCTAGCATGTCATACACATCTCTGGCATGCCCCCATGAAACCCTAGGAGACGATATCATCATGTTACAGTCTAGCATGTCATACACATCACTGGCATGCCCCCATGAAACCTGGAGACGATATCATCATGTTACAGTCTAGCATGTCATGCACATCACTGGCATGCCCCTCATGAAACCTGGAGACGATATCATCATGTTACAGTCTAGCATGTCATACACATCTCTGGCATGCCCCATGAAACCTGGAGACGATATCATCATGTTACAGTCTAGCATGTCATGCACATCTCTGGCATGCCCCCATGAAACCTGGAGACGATATCATCATGTTAAAGTCTAGCATGTCATACACATCTCTGGCATGCCCCATGAAACCTGGAGACGATATCATCATGTTACAGTCTAGCATGTCATACACATCACTGGCATGCCCCCATGAAACCTGGAGATGATATCATCATGTTACAGTCTAGCATGTCATGCACATCACTGGCATGCCCCCATGGAAACCTGGAGACGATATCATCATGTTACAGTCTAGCATGTCATGCACATCTCTGGCATGCCCCATGAAACCTGGAGACGATATCATCATGTTACAGTCTAGCATGTCATGCACATCACTGGCATGCCCCCATGAAACCTGGAGACGATATCATCATGTTACAGTCTAGCATGTCATGCACATCACTGGCATGCCCCCATAAAACCTAGAGACGATATCATCATGTTACAGTCTAGCATCGCATGGCATGCCCCATCACTGGCATGCCCCATTACAGTCTAGCAACCTGGAGACGATATCATCATGTTACAGTCTAGCATGTCATACACATCACTGGCATGCCCCCATGAAACCTGGAGACGATATCATCATGTTACAGTCTAGCATGTCATGCACATCACTGGCATGCCCCTATGAAACCTAGAGACGATATCATCATGTTACAGTCTAGCATGTCATGCACATCTCTGGCATGCCCCATAAAACCTGGAGACGATATCATCATGTTACAGTCTAGCATGTCATGCACATCTCTGGCATGCCCCCATGAAACCTGGAGACGATATCATCATGTTAAAGTCTAGCATGTCATGCACATCACTGGCATGCCCCATGAAACCTGGAGACGATATCATCATGTTACAGTCTGGCATGTCATGCACATCTCTGGCATGCCCCCATGAAACCTGGAGCGATATCATCATGTTAAAGTCTAGCATGTCATGCACATCTCTGGCATGCCCCCTGAAACCTGGAGACGATATCATCATGTTAAAGTCTAGCATGTCATACACATCTCTGGCATGCCCCATGAAACCTGGAGATGATATCATCATGTTACAGTCTAGCATGTCATGCACATCTCTGGCATGCCCCCATGAAACCTGGAGACGATATCATCATGTTACAGTCTAGCATGTCATGCACATCTCTGGCATGCCCCATGAAACCTGGAGATGATATCATCATGTTACAGTCTAGCATGTCATGCACATCACTGGCATGCCCCATGAAACCTGGAGACGATATCATCATGTTACAGTCTAGCATGTCATGCACATCTCTGGCATGCCCCCATGAAACCTGGAGGCGATATCATCATGTTACAGTCTAGCATGTCATGCACATCTCTGGCATGCCCCCATGAAACCTGGAGACGATATCATCATGTTACAGTCTAGCATGTCATGCACATCTCTGGCATGCCCCCCATGAAACCTGGAGATGATATCATCATGTTACAGTCTAGCATGTCATGCACATCACTGGCATGCCCCATGAAACCTGGAGACGATATCATCATGTTACAGTCTAGCATGTCATGCACATCTCTGGCATGCCCCTATGAAACCTGGAGACGATATCATCATGTTACAGTCTAGCATGTCATGCACATCTCTGGCATGCCCCATGAAACCTGGAGACGATATCATCATGTTACAGTCTAGCATGTCATGCACATCTCTGGCATGCCCCATGAAACCTGGAGATGATATCATCATGTTACAGTCTAGCATGTCATGCACATCTCTGGCATGCCCCCATGAAACCTGGAGACGATATCATCATGTTACAGTCTAGCATGTCATGCACATCTCTGGCATGCCCCCATGAAACCTGGAGACGATATCATCATGTTACAGTCTAGCATGTCATGCACATCACTGGCATGCCCCCATGAAACCTGGAGACGATATCATCATGTTACAGTCTAGCATGTCATGCACATCACTGGCATGCCCCCATGAAACCTGGAGACGATATCATCATGTTACAGTCTAGCATGTCATGCACATCTCTGGCATGCCCCATGAAACCTGGAGATGATATCATCATGTTACAGTCTAGCATGTCATGCACATCTCTGGCATGCCCCATGAAACCTGGAGACGATATCATCATGTTACAGTCTAGCATGTCATGCACATCACTGGCATGCCCCATGAAACCTGGAGACGATATCATCATGTTACAGTCTAGCATGTCATGCACATCTCTGGCATGCCCCATGAAACCTGGAGGCGATATCATCATGTTACAGTCTAGCATGTCATGCGCATCTCTGGCATGCCCCATGAAACCTGGAGATGATATCATCATGTTACAGTCTAGCATGTCATGCACATCACTGGCATGCCCCCATGAAACCTGGAGACGATATCATCATGTTACAGTCTAGCATGTCATGCACATCACTGGCATGCCCCCATGAAACCTGGAGCGATATCATCATGTTACAGTCTAGCATGTCATGCACATCACTGGCATGCCCCCATGAAACCTGGAGACGATATCATCATGTTACAGTCTAGCATGTCATGCACATCACTGGCATGCCCCCATGAAACCTGGAGATGATATCATCATGTTACAGTCTAGCATGTCATGCACATCACTGGCATGCCCCCATGAAACCTGGAGATGATATCATCATGTTACAGTCTAGCATGTCATGCACTGCCAAATGCCTTTACACCTCATGAACATGAACATTACATCATCCTTGACAAACCTAATACGAGTGTAACACAAAAAACATATGCTTGTAAACCTTATGGCATCACTTCAAAAACGCTCTATAAGGAACTGTGCTTAAAACATGTCCAAGTCCTGCTTGTTACAATATACATGACGACAACTCGGTATGCCCCTCGACACCTGGGAAATGTCACTGTTAACATGAAACAACTAGACTCCACTCTGTTGACAGCCAGTAACAGAAAACCTCCTTAAATCGAACCTTACCTCCTGAGTTCAAAAACCTCTTTTCATTTATAGTCACAGATGGATACTGGTCCTGAAAAACATAACAATGCATGTATAAGACAAAGGACACCAATAACACATGGGGAGACAATACAGTACACATTTGTTCTCCACTGATATCAGAACACTGGATAATGAACATGAAACAGTAAAACAAATTGTCTTGTAGCTGCCACTGAACACACCTTACGTCAGACCCCCTTCACATCAACCCATGAAGATCTGGATTAGAACTGATCTTCAGCAACCCATGAAAGTATCGGGTGGCCAGACCATCTTACTTAAGCATTGAATGTTATCGTATCCCAATTGTGTAGATCAATGCTTATGATGTTGTTAATCATTGAACTGTCTGTTAGATCAGTGTTTAACAACAAATAAAAAGTATACAACACGCCCTATGTCAACTCCACAGAACACACAGACAGTGCATGAACGGATCCAGAAAGGGTGTGTGTGTGTGTGTGTGTGTGTGTGTGTGTGTGTGTGTGCATGCGTGCAGGGGTGCCCCCTTTTGTCCTGAAAGTTTATTAAATAATTGAAACTCTCATGGAAATGGGTGGAAATGGGTGGAAATGAACTGTGCATACCCAGCTCCCCACTTCTCAAAAAGCTGTATCTGCCCCTGTCGTGTAACACGTGGGTATACTTTAGTCACCCCTCCCTTCTACCAACCTGCACTCCTTACATCAACTCCACAGAACACAGACAGTGTAACACGTGGGTATACTTTAGTCACCCCTCCCTTCTACCAACCTGCACTCCTTACATCAACTCCACAGAACACAGACAGTGTAACACGTGGGTATACTTTAGTCACCCCTCCCTTCTACCAACCTGCACTCCTTACATCAACTCCACAGAACACAGACAGCGTAACACGTGGGTATACTTTAGTCACCCCTCCCTTCTACCAACCTGCACTCCTTACATCTACTCCACAGAACACAGACAGCGTAACATTGGGGGTTTAGTCACCCCTCCCTTCTCACCCTCCCTTCTACCACACCTGCACTCCTTACATCAACTCCACAGAACACAGACAGCGTAACACGTGGGTATACTTTAGTCACCCCTCCCTTCTACCAACCTGCACTCCTTACATCTACTCCACAGAACACAGACAGCGTAACACGTGGGTATACTTTAGTCACCCCTCCCTTCTACCAACCTGCAGGCTCCGGTCAGGCCAGCAGAATCCCTCGGCTGAAAACACTACTCTGGCATCAAACTTCTTAAACCTCTCAATGATGGTGTCTGGGTCGTTGTTGAAGATGACATCGTAGCTGCAGTAGGAATACATTAATTTTGAAGCATACAAATTTTCATTGTAGTCCAAAAACATCCCAATAAGGCTACCAATGGTTTTAGACATTCCTGGATTGTTTCAAATGTATGAAGCATCTAGATAATAAGTTTAAGTCCCGTTTAAATGTTATTTCAAAATCCTGCTGCATATTTTAATATGTCTAAACGCTCATATCAACATACAGACTGATATGTGAATAACTGTCTTCAATTGATGAAATATTTTGAATAATGGACATTGCTATTGGAATTGGTGTAGGAATGCTTGGCGGGTGTATTAAACTATGGGAAACCCACCTGTCTACAAACATCAGCAGCAGGTCATCTCGGTCCTGGTACTTCTTCAGGCCTTCAGCCAGAAGGTTGATCTTGTGTCCCCCACCTGCATAGTTAGCAACATCACCACCATCCCACTCCTCCCCCATACCAAGCACCTGCAACATTGGACACCATCACTCACTGATTTCCAGACAAAGCCACAACTATGTGATATCCACAAGCATCACAAACACACATTATCTCCATAAACATGTAACAATTGTGTCCTCGGTTCATTATCTATAAACAGAAATTGCTGAAACACCATACACAGACCCTAAAGACCCCTGTCTTCATTCAGCTGATCCAGATTGTCAGTGGGACTTATTGCTGCTCATTTCAAGGAGATGTCTCACCTTCAACTCGAACCCATACTTCTTCACAGATCTCAGGAAGCGCTTGAAGCCATCAGTCTCATCTGTTGCAACTGTCACAACCATCAGATCTAGAACAGACATATTGCTCACTGTGTGATACATACTGACTTTTCACACTGTCACACGGTCAACTGCAGGCTGGTGGATTCAGCCAGAGTAACCTACGTGTCTTCATTCATCAGATTTACACATACCTGAAGCAATATGCACTGACTGCTATTAAATGTAGACAAACAACTAGTCTCTGGAATGAACATATTTTACAGGAGATTTACAGGACGCGAATTCCTGCGTCCTATATGCATAAAAATTGACAATGGATGCAACAAAATATATCAGCGTGTCCACAGAGACTCATTAAAAGTCCAAATACTTTTTGCAAAAATTCCAATCAATTAACAATACGTTATCACTGAGTTTGCTACTAGCTGGGTTATGGATTTTTTTAACAATGTGATGACCATGATACACAATACAATAACAGTATTAATGATAATATTTAAGTGTCTGGAACCCCCATTTTGTTGTCCAGGACCCCTGAAAATTAAGAGTATGAGTCCCAGGGACCCTCAACTACAGGACTCCATGTAAATCCCTGTTTACAGGGGGAAAAAAGCTTATAGTTAAAAAATAAAATATAATGAAAAGGAGCCCTGAGACTTTGTTCATTTTCAGCTATGGAAATCTAGACTTGCCACATTTTCTAGACTTGTGTGGGCTTTCTTGGATATATTTGCTTCAGGGTCTGTATGACAGATTAAGATTAGATGGAAAATTATACATTGTAAAACACTATACATATGCTGTGCAGGAAACAGCTGAAACTCTCTTCCTATTTCAATCATAACTTCTGAAGTCAGCCACAATTCCTCTGTGATCAGAGATCACAAAACCAGCAGATCCTGCTAATACATATATGAAACAGGCAGTTAACCTGAGCAGCATCGTGTAACATGAAACATGTTGCATGATGAATACGCAGCAAAGATCATGTTTTTGTTCTAAATTTCCAGTAAAGTATGTTGTGCAGCAAGTTTTTGCTAATTTCATGTTCATTTTAGACACTGGATCCAAGTCTGATTAAAAAGGCCATTGCTACAAGCTTCTTCAGGCATGTTTCCATACTAAAAGTAAACAGGTAGACATACAAAGTAATAGAGAGGGGCTTGCTGTGAAATATGTGTGTTCATGATGAAATGGTTGACCACTCTTGTAGGCATGTTACAAGCTTGCATGAATGTAGAGCAAATGATCACAAAAATGGCCTTTATGAATGACTTCTCTCTCCACATCATTTACTGTTGAAAACTACTCCATTAAGAAAGACCAACACATGGAAGCCAAGAGACCAAATATCTGCACAGCTATCTAAAGGTCGTAGCATGTGTTACATTTGGGATTATACATAGTATGCCTCTGTAGGTCAAACGCTAAGTGCACCAATGGCAAAACATCCATTCACATGAGCCAACAATCATCTGGTACGCCTTGTCAGTGTTGAAAATAAAGCATAATGTGTATGCTTCACTTAGTTGATTTCAATTTTCTGTAAGTTTGGCCTACATGAGATTGTGCATACTACACATGAGCTGGATCACACAGCTGGAACCTGTCTCTGTTGACCTTCCAGAAGATGCTAACACACCATTAGCACCTAACAAAGAGAATGGTTGATCTGCAACATTATGTCATGCCGCCTATCTTTGTACGAGGACTAGCAGCTGTAGTGGATTTCACACACCAGTGATCACACACAATAGCAAGTCAGTAGGTTTGTAGTCCTGTACTGTTAATGAACTATGAACTTTACAAGCTTTCACACAAACAAACAATGGATGTGTCAACACACATGAAGTTTCTCAGCTATGTGACTGTTGTTTTTCCATTGTCAGCTGTTCCTTGACCTGGTAGGTCAACGTGACATTCAGAGTGTGACTGAATACCGAATTTGTGTATAAGTGTCAACTTGGTATCATCGCTATGTGGTGGAAATGATGCAAGGGTAAATTGTAACTCACACCCACACAGTGACATGCTAGACGTTAACAGGTCTAGGTCAAAAGCCCCTCGGGACAAAAGCCACTCGACCAAAAGCCCCTCGGGAGAAAAGCCCCTCGAAAAATGACCAAAAGCCCCTCACTTTATGTACATGTATTTCACTTTATGATTTATAACATGAAACATTTTATTGCTTCATAAAATAATGACCCTAATTACTATATAAATTACTCACTCACTCATACTTTTTCCTACTTAAAATACTGCCATATAGCTGGAATATTGCTGAGTGCGGCGTAAAGCTAAACTGACTCACCCTACTTAAAATACAGTATAAAATATATATTCTTTTATGAAATACATGAATGGAGGGGCTTTTGACAGGGGTGCTCAAATCAGTGAGGGGCTTTTGTCCAGAGGGGCTTTTGGCCGGTCCCCACGTAAACACAGAGTGACTAACTAAACACCACCTCTCACAGGTAAACATGCTAGTTGGAAATAAGCAGAGGAAGGTTTAGTTTCAAATGCTCCAAGGGCACTTATCAGCAATTGTAGGTAAAGAGAGTAAAGTCAAAGTTTAGAGCTTGATATAAAATCTTGGTTTAGGTCACATAGGTTAAACATTGAGACAACAAATATCCTTGAAAGATTCATGCAACACTGACTGTAACAATTACAATTGTTTCATTAGAATATTTACACAAGAATTATTTTATTTTCGTAGTTAACTTCTACTAAAAACACCAGTAAAAATGGATACACATGTAGTTGGTTAGCCAGTATCACATTGTCATCAACGATATAGGTATACCTAGACCTGTTGTAAGAAGGAAAACCATGGTTCGCCAAAACTTGCACTGTCACAATCAGCCATGTTACATACCATAACCAGCTGGTACTCATGAACATGTCTCTGGCCTTATTTACATAACCATGATAACACATGGAGATTCCTTCTTTAAGAAAGAAAACCATGGTTCGCCAAAACTAGTACTGTCAGGGTGTGAGAACACATTCAGCCATGTTACATACTGTAACGATCATGAACATGTCTCTGGCCTTATTTACAATAACGACCAGTGAAGGTCTGGGTTAGAATATTGGCCTTCAGTAACCCATGTTTGTCGTAAGAGACAATCAGGTGGTCAGGCTCGCTGGCTTGGTTGACACATGTCATCGGTTCCCAAGTGCCCAGATCGATGCTCATGCTGATGATTGTCTGGTCCAGACTCGATTATTTACAGACCGCCACCATATACCTGGAATATTGCTGAGTGTTTTGTAAAACTAAACTCACTCACTCACTATTTACAATAACACATGGAGATTCCAGAATACAGGTTCCAAGCTTGTCATAAGAAGTGAAAACATTCACAAATTTGGCGATCATATCATTGTCTTTCGTGCTTGCCCAGTTGAGTTGAGCGATGCTCATGATTATAATTGATATGGATTTGACTACTGCTGAGAAAGGAAACAAACTTTAACCAAGAGCATCAGTGCCCTCAAATCACCACATGGCTGACAGAAATAGAAACAATGTTGCCATAGAAACAATGAATAATAATGATAGAACATGTAGCAGACCATGACTAGTGAGATGGTACAACAATCCTGCTAATGTTGTGAAAATTAAAAAACAATCAATACCAAAAGACATGTTCTATAGCTAATAAATGCAGAATATCATAAAAGAGACATACATACAAGCACTGTCAGTACTTAGACACAAATAGAGAAAGATAATACCTGTGTTTATCATGTTTTCAAATGGGAAATAACTGATGATATCACCCTTTCTATTGAGCAAACAGAATCAATGTGTTAGTTTGTCAGTCAGAACACTACTTTTTAGCCAACTTAGTATCAAACTGTTTCAAGTTATTTTGAAACACAATGTAACAAAGTTTATCAAAACTGAAAAGAGTGACTTTGAAAACTGTTTAACAAGTACCATACACATTGTTTTCAAATTTTCGAAACCAAAGAACCTAAAGGCTAATACCTGTGTATCAGCCATTGAGTGCCATCATTTTGAATATTATCAATGTAACATGAGGGTGTGCAGATAATGTGTTATAAAATGACAACACAATCTACCTATCAAACTTGATCCAGTTCATAGATATAATACATAACTGTTCCTCAGTATTCATTAACCTAGCTTTATTATTATATATAAACTGACCATAAAAGCTAGAGTTGCATAAATGTATCAATATGAGTGAAATTTGTTCACGATTATGTTTGTCAGTCATCACAAACTTACCCTGTTCTGAACATCCCATATAACGGAATGTGAAGGACAACAGCAGTGTTAGCCATGTTAACCCTGCCCCATACATCATCAGTTTCACAAGTGGAACAGACAGACTCCAGCTTTCATTAATAGTCCAACATTACATGGATGCTATTTATACACATTCCAATAGTTCCTCAACACTTTCACACATTCACTTCCACATCACATTGAGTGATTTTTGTTGGATAATCTATCTATGAGATTAAAGTGCATGGTAAATCTGCACAGTGTTTAGATGTGCATGAATGTGGAGGCAGGTGGTATGAGTCTCCAGCACCCCACATGGGGGAAGTCACGTACACAATGCCAGCTCCTCTGGTTCTCCTAGCTGGAACTAGGACGTTTACTTATTCAGTTTTCCTGCCCATATTTTTATTTGGAAGATTAACTGCTGTAAAACAATATTTTATTCTCACCATAAGAACATAACGGAAACGACGTAATTATTTACCTTTAATCACATAGTAACAGCAGGTTTAAAAAACTCGTAAGTCCATGAGCAGTTCCTTACATTCTTTAATCACGCATTTTAAGATCCCTAATACGCTGTACAATACAAATGACATCTTAAAATAATCCAAATAGTTTTCATCCGAAGTTTTATTTTAATCGGTTCAGTATGTTCCACGAACAATTTGTTTCCAAAACACTCCAAAGTTTGAGAAATTTCTCATAATGCTAAGAAATGTACGAAGCACTTGCAACAATTAATGAAAATATCACATATATGTTTTCACAGTAAGTTGATCTGGACAGTGATCAGATGGTCAGACATGGGTGAATGAAGAGGCAACTTACCATCTTCGGCAGCCAAAATATCCTGGAGAATAATTGTCGACAAAACAAACACAAAACTTAGTAAAGTCGCAGACGACATCTTCAGCAGACGACTGAACCCTCGGTGGTGTTTGCCTGGTAAAACACTGGTACTGAGCGTCTTTCGCTTCCAAGATATGGTTTCAGCTCTGCCACATCACACAGTTTCGTTCTTGGAGTAACCCGATACGTGTGCGCGTCCAAGGTTTCAGCTAAGGGGGATCTGCCAAAAAAGTCTGGCAGCGTATACCAGTCGATAACTCCGGAAATTCCCTAGCTGAAAGTCACCACCGGTCGGTAACAATGGAGCTTGGTATTTCCTCAAGGTGTGGGAAGAAATCGTTCGGAAAGTGTCTTCTCATGAAGTGTTAAATATGATAATCATCGTTTGAATCACGAATACTTTGATGATCTCGCATTTACGAAACCTGGACAGGCATCTGAAAAAACACTGACCCAAAAAACTCACAATGTTTTCACGTTCTTGAAAGAGTTATTTCCCTTGTACCATAAACCAAGTCATATTTGCAAAGCCTTTGCTGGTCGACATAATTAGGCTCTACCATGTTTACGTTTTGTATTAACCTGACTAAGCAGACTTAATGAACTTTTTATATGCTTCTACAGTTTAGAAAAAAGCTACAAGTATATCCTGTACCTGTTATTTATCCACTTGAAAAAAAGAAGGAAATCTGTACATTTTCGAAGTGCAATAGTCTGAAAATAAAGATAGCCTCTGGGATCCTTCTGTTATACATGTATTTTTGAAATATGGTTTAGTAACTGTTTTTTTCTGTAAAATATTATCATTTCAGAGACTAGATGTTAGTCTAGAAGTTCAACTGCTGTTACTAATCCCAGACTGTCACGTATACTGACTTAATGAAGGTTTATCCTCCACGATCCAGGCTCCAGCCCAGGTGTAAGCACTCACCTCATTGAAGCGAGACAATGTTTTAGTGGAAAAAGCGTAACAAATTCTCAATAAGGTGGTGTTGGAAACAGTGGCCTGACTGCCATAATAATGCATGTCAACTGGCCATTAAACTAGAGTGTCGTAATTGGTGACATAGGAATAAATGGTTCGCCACGGTGGAATATTAATGCAATCGTTATAAATGTTGGAGAGATAACATAAGTTATAAAAAATAAAGTTATCTTATTAAAAAATATAAAATATGTGTCTATTTGCGAAACAAATCCAATCAGACGCTGTATTTTCTGGCCAAGAGCTGAGACAATCTAGCCTCGCCAAATCATTCTAGACTTTAGTAGGACTGCTATTAAATATATTCTTTTGGGTCTGGGAGACTATAGGAAGAACAGGTAGTGTGTCTCACAGCCCTGAACCACATTATTTGCCCTACAGCCTAGCCCTCCATCCAGTGCTAAATCCCTAAATGAAGCAAGTCTAGATTTCCCCCAGGTTCTGGGCTACAAGTGAATCTCTGGTCTGCCTTGGGCTCCTTTTCAATTTAAATGGGTATATTGTTACAATCAAAATGATATATTCAGAGACGAAGCGTTAGTCTAGAGAACAGGTTGAGTGGTAAGAAGGCGTCAACTTGCCGGCTCTTTGCCCGAGTATGTACATATATGTACCTATGTATGCACAACAAGCTGACTGTGCAACAAACCCAAACAAACATAATGATAAACATTTTAAAAATACAGTGAAGAAAAACCTGATAACAAACGGCGGGCATTTGTTCAAAAGCTGTTCTTGAAAGGTATTTAGAAGTTGGACGAATATGGATACGGGGACCGGCCAAAAGCCCCTCAGGACAAAAGCCCCTCGACCAAAAGCCCCTCTGAACAAAAGCCCCTCGCTAATTTGAGCGCCCCTGTCAAAAGCCCCTCGATTCATGTATTTCATAAACGAATAAACATTTCTCCCTTTGCTCTTATATATTTTATACTGTTTTATGATTTATAAAGTGTAATGCACTTTTCTCATTGCTCGTTTCTATTTTATAGTATTTTAAGTATTTGATCATACCAGTAGTGGAAATGGAGCTAATTTGCTCAAGTATGAGCGAGGTGTATATATATTTCTGTGAAAAACATTTTACTAAACTTGATCATGGAGTTAATACGCTGCCTCAAAAAGCTGTGCTTTGAAAACAGAACGCTGTCCGTTCTACTGAGGACTTTCTTTCCGCCATAGGCCACAACATTTCTTAATTATTAATTATTATGTAAAACAATTTTTCGAGTCATTAATAATTTCTTGTTGATTTATTTTCATTTGTTTGATGACATATATTTCTTATTCTCTAAACATATTTGCTAATTACATATCAATTTATAGTATTTATAGTATTTAGGGTCATTATGTTATCAAGCAATAAAATGTATCAGGTTGTTAATCATATCTTGTCTTTAATCTTATTTTCCCATTAATACGTAAAGTGAGGGGCTTTTGGTCATTATTCGAGGGGCTTTTGTCCTGAGGGGCTTTTGGTCGAGTGGCTTTTGTACCAAGGGGCTTTTGACCTAGACCCATGGATACAGGATACGTCTTAAGGGTAACAACTTCTATTTATTCTTTAAACGACGTTTCAGAGCTAATCCTTGCTCCTTCATGAGGTGAACGAAGAAGCTAGAATTGGCTCTGAAACGTCGTATAAAGAATAAAAAGAAGTTGTTATCCATAAAATGTGTCACGTATTCATGTTCAGAAGCTGTAGATTCACCTAACAGATGATAATAGCGATGTGTCAGGTTCGAAACTTTGAGGAAACGTGTGTTAACCAATATTTTAAATATTTGATCATATCTACAGAGACAAAAACACACATATTTACAAGTCTTGTTTGAATATATGATGTAATATGAGATGCATATGTAGGAGTTACGGGCCTTTGACTGTCTGCCGTCTTGGATGAGCGATCAATGCATCCACATAGTGACGTCACGATAGGATGTCTGCGCTGATCATTGGAGCAGAATCGATCGGCAGAATTCCTGTTCCGCAACTGTACACATGGCGAATTGGTTGTCGGCGGCGGTCGCCCTTGTATGTCTGATGTCACAGCAGAGATTTGGGGTTCGAATCAAGGTCTTTGGGGATGATAAACTTGGTATTCAAGACTCAATCACAACCGATGTATACCATGGGGTGATTAAAAAACGGGGAGCTACTGCCCCAATACTTGAAAAATATCCCTACTTCAGATCAGTTGAAGTCCACAAAGCATGGTATGAATCTGTCACTACCTTCTGTTAGTTGCCACACGTATCAGGGACTCTGTAGTACTGTCGCTACACACAAACTATTGGTCGCAGTAATGTCGTCTTACATCAGGATGTTGGCGGGGATAAATCGTTAAGTTAGTAAGCATTAATTCCTCCTAACATCAGGTTTATGCCGAGATATTTTGTATAACTTCCTTCTTCAATCGGGGATATTGTCCTGGAGATATGTTGTATAACTTCCTACTTCCATCGGGGATATTGTCCTGGAGATATGTTGTACAACTTCCTTCTTCCATCGGGGATATTGTCCTGGAGATATTTTGTATAACTTCCTTCTTCCATCGGGGATATTGTCCTGGAGATATGTTGTATAACTTCCTACTTCCATCGGGGATATTGTCCTGGAGATATGTTGTACAACTTCCTTCTTCCATCGGGGATATTGTCCTGGAGATATGTTGTACAACCTCCTTCTTCCATCGGGGATATTGTCCTGGAGATATGTTGTATAACTTCCTACTTCCATCGGGGATATTGTCCTGGAGATATTTTGTATAACTTCCTTCTTCCATCGGGGATATTGTCCTGGAGATATTTTGTATAACTTCCTTCTTCCATCGGGGATATTGTCCTGGAGATATGTTGTATAACTTCCTACTTCCATCGGGGATATTGTCCTGGAGATATTTTGTATAACTTCCTTCTTCCATCGGGGATATTGTCCTGAGATATTTTGTATAACTTCCTTCTTCCATCGGGGATATTGTCCTGGAGATATGTTGTATAACTTCCTACTTCCATCGGGGATTGTCCCTGTATGTTGTACAACTTCCTTCTTCCATCGGGGATATTGTCCTGAGAGATATGTTGTATAACTTCCTACTTCCATCGGGGATATTGTCCTGAGATATGTTGTACAACTTCCTTCTTCCATCGGGGATATTGTCCTGGAGATATGTTGTACAACCTCCTTCTTCCATCGGGGATATTGTCCTGGAGATATGTTGTATAACTTCCTACTTCCATCGGGGATATTGTCCTGGAGATATGTTGTACAACTTCCTTCTTCCATCGGGGATATTGTCCTGGAGATATGCTGTACAACCTCCTTCTTCCATCGGGGATATTGTCCTGGAGATATGTTGTACAACTTCCTACGTCCATCGGGGATATTATCCTGGAGATATGTTGTACAACTTCCTTCTTCCATCGGGGATATTGTCCTGGAGATATGTTGTACAACTTCCTACTTCCATCGGGGATATTGTCCTGGAGATATGTTGTATAACTTCCTACTTACATCAGGTATGTTATCCTGGAGATATGTTGTATAACTTCTTATATACATCGGGTATCTTATCCTGGAGATATGTTGTGTAACTTCCTTCTCCCATCGGGGATATTGTCCTGGAGATATGTTGTATAACTTCCTTCTTCCATCAGGTATGTTATCCTGGAGATATGTCACATCAGGTATGTTATCCTGGAGATATGTCACATCAGGTATGTTATCCTGGAGATATGTTGTACAACTTCCTACTTCCATCGGGGATATTGTCCTGGAGATATGTTGTATAACTTCCTACTTCCATCGGGTATCTTATCCTGGAGATATGTTGTATAACTTCATTCTTACATCGGGGATATTGTCCTGGAGATATGTTGTATAACTTCATTCTTACATCAGGTATATTATCCTGGAGATGTTGGTAGCGAGACGGTGGAGATGTTGAGATGTATGCCCTGGTAGTCCTGAGATATGTTGTAGCTTCCTTCTTCCATCGGGGATATTGTCCTGAGATATGTTGTATAACTTCGTAATCGAGACGGTCCCGAGATATGTTGTATAACTGAGACGGTATTGTCCTGGTGATATGGTAGTAATGAGACGGTGGGTGTTGGTAGGTGAGACGGTGTGGTGTTGGTAATGATCGGTGCTTGGAAAGTGATGGGGGGCGTTGGTAATGAGATCGGTGGGTGGTTGGTGACAGACGACGGTGGGCGTTGGTGAGACGGTGGGCGTTGGTTATGAGACGGTGGGGTGTTGGAAATGAGACGGTGTGGTGTTGGTAGTGGAGACGGTGTGGTGTTGGTAACGAGACGGCGGAACGAGCGAATGACGGAAGACATGAGACGCTGGAAAAGGAAATGACGCGTGGAACGAATAACGAGACGCAGTGGGGGTGGTGGAGAATGACGGCTGGAAATGAGGACGGTGAAGAATGACACAGTGCGCCGTGGGGTGTTGGAATGAGACG